ATCATAATTCCAGATTGCAGTAGCCTCATTTTTACTATTTAAAAGGATTACACTTCTTGTTCTTCTACCAATTGTTCTTTAAACTTCAAAACACTCTTTCCAGCTAGGGGGGAAATGACGTTGTAATCTGTTCCTTGCCAAAATCTAATTGTACATAGAAGCAGATTGCCTAAAGCAGCATAAAGAGCCATTTGCTTCACACCCTCAACTAATTGGACTCTAAAATCCCTTACACTTTATAAATGCCTCTTTGCAAATAATTCTCCTGAGTAACCCTTACAGTGCAGGTGAGTCAGCCCACACGGGCCGTGCTAGATAGACACTCTAATGTGCTATCTAAAGTTTTTACACACTGTGGGCTTTGTAGTTAGGGGAAAGGAAAGGAAGGCAAGAGAATTTTGTAAGAAATATCTGGAACAGATCATGCATCTATATAATGGAAGTTTCCTTGAAGACTGTCAATGTAGTCATCAGTGTAGTCATCTAGTACTCTTGACAGTTTTTGACGGAAATGCCCATTGTACTCTCTCTCTACTTAGAATGATGCAAAGCCCCAAACACTGCAGTTTTAAAGGCAATTTGTTAAGAAATTGCCACACTTGAACTAAGTGAATTTTATCCAGTGATGTTTTTATACTCATGCTTTATGAGAAATTGTGAGTTTAGGGTTTTCATATAGACACACTCATAAACTATCTTAAAAATAAATAAAACTACATTACGATTGAAGAATGAATGCATCGGTAAAGTATTGGACATTTACTCCACTTAACAGGGTTAAATGTTCATGCAGTTTTGAAATAGACTAAATGAATAAATAAAAGTGAATTGTAGAGGAAGATGTTGGAATTGACCACATGTTGTAAATGTGCCAGCAGTTATATATCAGAATGATAAATTATTTGCAGGGAGCCTAAGCCAGAGACAACAAAAACCTGGTTCATAACTGAGATTCAAAGAAGTAGTCACCTATGTACAGCAACTGTAAAGACTTTGTGAAAGTCCATGTGCTATTGAGCTTTTTCTTACTAAAACTACTCAAATAACATGCAATGTTTCAGACTTCAGAATATCTCACTATTTATAGGATGCTAGGCTGAAACATTTAAGAGTATTTACCTAGTAGATGTATTAAAATTGTACAAGTAGGATATGGAAAAAGTAAAAAATTAAAACTAGATGGGTTTCTACCAACTAGATTTGCATGTTTAAATGAAGACACAATTAATATGGACTTCAGTTATCAACAGATTCTACTATACTTAATGTGTATTTAAATTATAACCTCAAAGTACATTTCTTATCTAAAGTCAAAGCAATCTGGGAAGTAGGAAGGAGAGCCACTGAGTCACAGAATTACAGAGCCAGCGACAACTTGATTTATACCCCAGTTTTGTCATTTTCTACATGTGAAACTTGGGATAAATTTCTGAACCTTAACAGATAATTATCTCTAACATGAAATTGATAATATGTACCTACTATGTGTCTAATCAAGAATGAACTCCACAGGGGAGTCAAAGCACAGTAACTAACAAATAGTGTTATTCTATAAACTGGTGTTGTCCCATGTCTTTTTTACTTTTATTGATATATAATTGTAATACAATAAGTTTATACTTTTAACATGAGCAGTTTGATATGTTTTGATATAGGTACATACTTGTGAGCTATTCCAATAATCAGGATGATGAACATATCCATCACTCACAAAAGTTTTATGTCCCTTTATATTCCCTCTGCCTCACTCCTTCCTAGTACTGAATTCCCAAGCAACTGTTGACCTCCTTTTTGTATTAAATTATCTGTCATTATACCTACGTTTGCATTTTCCATGATTGGTATCACAAAATAAGTTATTGTTGGAGTTTTTTGGCTTTTGTTTTTCCTTGACAGAAGGCAGGGGTGTGGCTTATTTCGTACACCATATTTATTTCAGTTTCATCCTTGTCAATGAGTCATTTTTATCTCTGAGTAGTGTTCCATTGTGTAGATACACAATACTATAGCATCTTTATTCATTTACTTGTTGGTGTACATGCAGAAAATTCCCTGGTTTGACTGTTTTGTTCCAGTTATATATTTTTTAGTTTTTAACACTATTAATACACTCTTGCAATTACCATGTTTTGCAATAAATGTTAAAGTCAAATAGGATAAGTGCTTCAACTTGCTCTTGTTTTTTGAAATTATTTTGGCTAATGCATGTCCATATAAATTTTAAAATCAGCTTCTCAATTTCTCTAGCCAGGAAAGTTTTCTGGAATAGTGATTGGAATTGCACTGAATTTGAGGAACACTGACACCTTAATAATACTGAGTCCTCATCCATGAGCATGGTATATCTCTCCGTTTATTTATGTGTGCTTTAATTTCTTGCATCAGTCTTCTGTAGCCTTCAGTGTGCAGATTGGACACTGACTCTGTCATACATATTACTATTTCATATTTTAATGGTATTATGAATAGTGTTATTTTAAATGTTGATTTCTGATTGTTCATCTCTAGTATGTAGATGCAAAATTGGCTTTTGAACATTGATCTTATATTTTGGGACATTGATAAAGTCTCTTAATTCTAATAATTCTTTGTGAATTCTGTAGCATTTTTCATGTGCCCGAATCTGTTGTCTGTGACTAAGACAGCTTGTTAAAAATTCCTTTCAAATCTGTATCCCTTTGATTTCTTTTTTTGCCTTTTGCCTTTTGCCCTAGAACCTTTTGTACAGTTTGAAAAGATGTGAATAGCCTTAGCGTGCCTGAAATGGCCTTTCTTGTGCACTTTTTCTTCCTGGTGTTGAGGAGCCTCATTCATATTAGGCAGGTGATGTGCCACTGAGGTACATCCTCAGCACTTTTATCTTCCTTTTTTTTTTATCTTCATTTTTGATAGTTTCACTAGATAATAAATTCTTATTTGATAGTTTTCGTAGTTTTTCCTCCCTTTCATTACTCTAAAGATGTTCTACTGTCTTTTAGCTTTTATTTCTCTCAAGCGAAATCTTCACTCATCCTTATTTTTATTACTCTATGTAAAGTGCTTTTTTCTCTGAATGGTGTTAGGATTTTCTCCTTATCACTGGCTATGAGCAATTAAATTATGCACTTCAGTGTGATTTTCTTGATGTTTCTTGTGCTTAGGTTTATAGAGCTTTTTTGATATTTTTGTTTTTAGGTTTCAGAGTCTTTGAAGGGCCCCCCTTTCTGTCTTCACTTTTTCTGCTCTCATTTTCAGAGACATATATATTCTGCTTCTTAAAGTTGCCCTATAATTCACTGACCTTTTTCCTCTGTTCTTTTCCCTCAATTTTTTGAGTGATTTATTTTAGAGAATTTCAAGTATAATAATCTTTTTTCTGCAGTGTCCCATTTGGTGAAGTTTCATCTTACACTTTATATCTGTTTACCTCCATTGCCAGTCCTGTGTGAACACTTGTATTGTTCTTGCAGTCCTTTCACATAGTTATTTTCTTAACCCTGGGTTATTTCCTCACACACATGCCCTAAATTATTAATATTTTTTCTTCAAATTTTTCATTTGTGTGAAATATCAACCTTTGCTCATTAGCAAGGTAATGCATTAAGCTTTGGGGATATTTCTACTAGCCCATAGTAGTTAGTACATATTAACTAATTAATTTATGTATGAGAATAACTATGCCTTATATCTGTCTTGCAAATTACTGTCCACATCAAAGAACCAACCTCAATCTCCGCTTGCCTGACATGGGCATGATGTTGTATCTTCAGGAAACCTATCGCATCTGATGGACATACATCAGACATGCGCCATACTGTGCTGACCCAGCTGTCTCTGTTGGAAAAATCCTACTTCTCAGAGTTTTTAGGCTCTAATTTCACATGTGAGCCTATTGTCTCTTCCCATGTAAACTCAAAGAAACCAATTGCCAATTAAACTGCACTTCTGTAAATATACAATTAGTTACCGCTGGTTGCTTCTCCTGTTGTTTTCATATTGTTTTAAATGTTATTACTCTATTTAAAAGTAGATAAATTCTTTGCTGAGTAAAAATGGTTACACTGTAAATAAAAGAATTTTAGCAGACACAGTCATAGATGCCTGTAATTCCAGCACTCTGGGAGGCTGAGGCAGAAGGTTTGAAAGTTTGATTCTAGCCTGGACAACTTAGCAACTGAAGAAGACCTTGTTCCAAAATTTAAATAATTGATTAATTAATTGGGCTGGAGATATAACTCAGTGTAAATTCCCTGAGTTCAATGTCTAGTATTGCACACACATAATTTTTTTAAATTACATGTGCATTAGGAAATGTGATAGGAATTTTATATAAGCCTTCAAATCTAAGGAATTCTGTGCATATTTTATCATTTTTAGTTTTTAAGAATGAGACTTTCTAGGAGCAAATCATATACAGCTCAAGCACAAAGAACAGTTTAACTGAAAACTATTTTCCAAAGGGAATTGGAGCCAGTATTCTATACTCTGATGAGCCCTTGGAGGTCATGGGAATTTAAAATGGAGTATGAGGTTACAGGAAGAACTTAGGAGTGAATAAGACCTGGGGATTGATAGCTCCACTCTTGCCACTTTCTAGTTGTGTGATTTGGAGCAAGTCCTACAGCCCATTTGAACCTATATTTTAACTTCTTCAACTCAGTATTACATCCCAGTCACTAAGCATTGATATAAGGCTTAAATTTTACAACGAGTGGAGGCATTTTAAGTGCTCAATAAGTAGTCATAAACTCTATGTCCATAATTGTATGGAGTTCCCAAGTGAAAAAGCTTTTGCCCAAGTGAAAACATCCATCTTAAAATGCCTATGTCCCAAGTAAATAGTAATCACCGCAGGGAGAAACTTTGGTTGTGCTATTATGAGTAATGTAGATTAAGACTTTGCAGGATGAATTTGGATCATAGTGGTTTTTTGAAGTATTTTCGCTGAAGGTAGTTCATAGGAAGTTACTGATGTTCTTTTATGTCCTTCCTCAAAAAATCTGATTTTTTTTTTTAATTAGGGAGAATTTGTGGCCTGTCTCCTGTCCCTGTTGCGACAAATGACAGATAGACATTATCAACAGCTTCTTGACAGTTTTAATACAAAGGAAGAACTAAGGGTAAGTGACATTTTAAATTACTTCCTTTATTTTTTGTTGTTGTTTCTCTTGTTCTTCTTCATTACTATTCAGATGGTTTCTTGACAGTTGTTGTGTCTCATCATTAAATTCTAAATTATTTTTCTCAGCTTTGTTCACAGATCTGCTCTTCTGTACTGGTTCTGTAAGATTTCTGTAAGATTTCTTTTTGTCAAGCAAAGCAATTAATCCTGATGATGGAGAAGGACATAGGATTTGAAACACCTGTCATAAAAGTCCAGCAAACTAGAGACAATGACAGAGGAAAGCACTAAAAAGCAAATAGGCTAACTCCAGCTAAGTGTGCCTAGAGCTCCTGCCTTAATGCACAGGGAGCATATGTAACCATATTGGCTGGTTTTATCCTTTTAAAACCATAGTGAGAAGTTTTGACTACAACTTTCTGGCTAGAGTGGCAGAGTTATATTTGATATTCATTATCAGCTACAATCTGGTCAGTATGCTGTGCCAGTCTGGCAGGCTGACATGAAGTGGAAAATAAGAATGCCAGGTTTATAAAAATTCAGTATTTGCTGAAATTTGGAGAATTGCAGTGGTTCCTGTGTGGTGTTACTCAAAGCTTAGAAGTTGATTATCCTCAGTCAGAGGGATGACCTGTCATCTGCTCTTAATTACTTTTATTTCTCTTTCATCTCTTCAGTTTTCCAGACACTTTGCCTATAGGAGCCATTGTATTAGGAGGAACGCTTACATGCTGAGTGGTGGAGAGTTACAGGACAAGTCTGGTGATACTGCAATGTTTGTTTTAGGGAAAATCTATAGCTATTTCATATAGATGGTGCATAGGATCATTTAGGGATTTTTCAGTGCCTAGAAGATACTGTATGATCTCAGAAGAATCCTTTTACTGCCTTGGAACAGTGGACAAACTAAGTTATATAAAACAAAGAATGATTTGGGGCAAATACAATCTTCCTACCATTAACTAATTGGCATATGGCATCATGTTTTTCATTCTGATGTTCAATTTAGAGCACAGGATTAAAAATACATAAAAGGCCTTAGAACTTACTCATTCTGAATACAAAACTCCATGCATCAAAAGGCAGGTAACTTTGCAGGTTACTTTCATCAGAAATTGACTGTTTAACACAGTTAAGGAATAATTAGATTTTGCTTAAGAAGTCTATGACTTCATATTTCAAACCTTCCCATAAAAAGGCCATATATTTTCATGGAGCCTGAGAATTCAGAGGTAGCAAAGAAGCATAAATTAAGAGACTTGGTTAATCTAGGTATTGAGTTTTATATTTATTATTCACATTGTCAAAGCAAGGGGAAATAATGAGCGAAGTATTTTACGTAGACTTTATTTCAGTCTTCCAGCACACCTTTTCAAAGGACATCTGTTTCCCTCTTCAGAATTAGCTGGGCCTTCAAGTGAAAACTATTTAATGACGCTAAGTTATTGCTCTGAAAATCAGAATTCTTCCAACTCCAGAAATACAATATGGTTCATATACTTATAGTATAGTACCTGCAGTAGGATCTGCAGGAAAACAGAATACTCACTCTAGGAAGGAGAGAGACTACAGATAGGTCAGGTCAAATTTTGTTGCCAAATAGACAGTAAGACCAAAAAATTATAGAGCTGCTTTGGACTTCAGTGTTATTCAGTAGTGGGGCCGAGGACCCTAACACTAAACATTTTATATAGAATATAATATGTACCAGGCCCTGTTCTGAACAGCTGATTAATATTAGCTCATTTACCTCTCAAGAGGACCCCATGAGGCAAACCCATTATTGTATGACAGATACCAGTTATCTGATTCCACATTTATTAACCGTGTTGACTAGATATTGGGGATATCAAGGCTAAGTAAACAGCCTCTTACTAAGCGCATCTAAATAATGAAGTTTTAAGGGTATTTCAAGATACAACAGTGATAATTGTTAGCAGTTACAGAACGCTTCCCCACCCCGACAACCATAAGCTAGATGTGCTGCTAAACACTTCTGTGACATCACACACAGTTCATGCCCTCCCATGAAGACTGATGGATGTTATTATTATCCCAAGTAACTGGGAAAGCTAAGAATTCTATTAACATCCTGAGCTCTTGGCTCAGACAGCTAAACTCACCTTTCCCCCTGAACTTTCCTAAACCAAACCTTTGCTATCAAATTGTGTAAAGTTTCATTTATCAAGTCCTTAAAGGAAATGAGGCATTTCTGGTTACAGAAGCATTTGAGAAAGGCCAAATTAGTAGAGGGAGGGTTTGGAGGATTTTTAATACCTACATTTATGGTACAAATTAAATAAGTAGGGGAATTATCAGTGAGGCAAGATATAAATTAATATAGTGATATTTAATGGAAAAATACAGTTGATACTAGGATCAGACACCAAAAACTCCACCTAACTATACTATTTTAAAAAAATAAGTCCAACTATGTATCCTGTTGTAATCTGTTTTCCAATGCTAAAGGTCCTAAGCATAGTGTCAGAATCTACTTGACCTGGGGGCGAGATCCTCACGCTGCTGCAGATCACAGTGAAAAGTGGAAGTGCAAGTGGGCATGTGCAAAAGAGAGAGCACACACAAGGGGTCCACTTGCTCTGTAACAGCCCACTCTAGAAAACAAGCAGACCTCCCTTCAGTGAGAAGGGCATGAAGCCATTCTTGAATGCTTGCCTCTGTGACCCATGTACGTCCCATGAAGCCTCCTTCCTAATAATGCCGCCTTGAGGAATTAAGGTTCTAACCCATGAATTTTGGTGGGACTCACCAAAGCCGTAACATGTCATTTCCCTTCCCCACTCATGTCCTAGTCCCCAGAAGTAGCTATTGTTAGCACTTGGCGGTGTTTCCTTCTCAACAGCTCTCTGTGATGTCTGCATTCACACTTTTTTAAACAGTATGATTATACTGTTTATATTGTTCTGCACTTTTTTTCCACATAGCAATGTCTCTTTTTTTTTGGTGGGGGGGGGTTCCGGTACCGGGAATTGAACTCAGGACCTTGCGCTTGCCAGGCAGGTACAGTGCCACTGAGCTAAATCCCCAGCCCCAGCAATGTCTCTTGAATATTATATATTCTAGTACCTCATTTTTCTGAATCTCATTAAAAGGATGGTCCATAATTTAACCATTCTCCATGTGCTCAGCATTCAGGATGTTCCTGGTTTTTGCACTCTAGAAAGGGTCTTGCAGTAAATGCATATATGCATAGAACTCTATGGACTTATGCCCTTATTGTTACAGAATAAATGCCTGGAAGTACAATGATTGGGTCATAGGAGATATGCATTTTAAGTTGCAATTGATACTGGTGAGTTATGTATAACAATTTATATTTTTGTGGTGGCTGAGGCAGGAGGATTGCCGTGAGTTCAAGGACAGCCTGGGCTACATAGTGAGTTCAAGGCCATTCTAAACTATAAAGCAAGACCCTGTCTCAAAACAAACAAGGAAACAAACAAACAAAAAATTTCTATTTTTTTGTTGCACTGTATCCTTATCATCATTGCTTTTTCGTTTATTCTTACCAGTTCAAAGAAAGATCTGTCAGCATTTCCCAGTGGTTCACTAAATCAAAACAAATTTTAAAACTATAAAGTGCTCGCATACCTACTTAGACGAATGGTGTTTTAACTGCAGTTGTGCTTGAAGAAGCAGGGGCCTGCAGGGTCACTGCTGAAGTGGCTCCTGGCTTTTTGAGCAGTAAGCTCTTTCTTCTCCTTGGCCCTTAGCCTCCTGTGGGTGAGTGGCGTGAGTCACAGTGTCAGAACACGGTGTGTGGGAGTGAAGACCCGAGGGCTGGCACTCTGTATTTAATTTTTCCTTCCATAGAACATTACATTATTTTAAAATGAACAAAAGCCAACCCTAGGTAGTGATTAAGTATTTTTTCTCCTTCTATAGTCAGTCATGTTTTATTATACACCCACCTTATTCTGGGGGCTAAAGTTTTGTCCATATCCTTGGTATTTTATGGATATCCGGCCTGAGCCTCCTTGTTCTTTGTTGATTATGACTTTTCATATAGAACCATGGGGAATCTTGCTGTAAGCATGAGATTATACAAATTCTGGAAGTACAGCACTGTTATAATATTTCATCATCTTCCATACCCCGGCCCACAAGCCTTCAAAAAATCCTATCTGATTAAAGCTCAATTCAGCTTTATAACCCTGAGCACTTGCCGTTAACTTCAGGACAAAGTCCAGTCTCTGTCAGCCATACGGCCTTCAGCCCCTTCCACGCATCCTGCACCTTAGCCAAACAAACCATGTATGTGATTTCTAGTTCTTTGGAGTAATTCTTTTCTATCTGAAATGTCTATTCTACCACAGCTTCATTTTCAAATGTGTAGTCCTGTTAATCTCTTACCTCATTTCTGCTCATGCTACAAACTCCAGGTCAGGCTATAGTCCACTTTCTCTGATATCATACAACAACACACTATGATTATTTGCTGTCTCTTGTATTTCCCACGACTACGGGCTCCTCGAGACTAGGGAGCACGTCTTTGGGAAGCACAGAACCTAGAATATAAAATCTTCATTGCATGAATGAACCCTCTTAGTAAAATTCTGCCTGCTTCAACAAAACCATCTTTTCTATATTATTATTTTGACGTATTGTCTTTATTTTAATATTGATTTAATAAAAATAAGTATATCACAGTCAAAAGGTTGAAGACAATTTTGGAATTATTTCCGAGAATACTTAAATATTCTATTTTAAGGGTGTAGGTTTTAATGTGATGATAGTTGCTAATTCCCTTTAATTGACTTCAAGCCCATATTAAGGGTAGTCTATATCTAAATTTTATAGCACATTTTAAAAATAACATCTGCCTGTATGTACTCTAATCATAAGTAAAAGAAATGTTTCCAGAAGGCTGTCTTCTGTTGATTGCTCTTAATTTGTCTACCCACCTCATAATGCTTTATTTTCTGGATATCTTAACTTGTGTTTCATGGTCTAACAGTTCCTCTTTCTGTATTTTCCAATTGGGTCCCATAAACCTGATTTCTGTGTTGTGTCAATTTCATATCATGGTATCATGTGTAAATACAAAACCCTTTTTATGTGGTACTCACTGTAAAACACAAATCTGACCCTCTGCACATCTACATAAAACTTCCAATGTCTCTATATTGCTGTTAGGGTAAATTTCCAAACTCATTATAGTAGAAAAGTATGAGGGATTTTTTTTAGCTTTTATTTATGCCTGTTTACTTATCATTTATTTCTTTGAGCTCTCTTTGTCTTTGTCCCCATTTGTCTTTTATTTCTCCCTAATACTCTTTCGTCCCATTGCTTGCTGGTCCCCTTTGCAGTGCAGGCCTACCTTCGCTCTCTCTGGAAATGTTGTCCCTCTGCCTGAACCAGAATGATCTGGTTCCTAAAGTGTGCACACACCTGTGTGGTTCATGGATTCACATTTGTCTCCCCACCCCCCAAGGCACGAGCTCCATCAAAGCAAAGAAAGCATTGCAGTGTCTTGTCACAGGCACTCCATAAATATTTGCTGTGCAAATAAATACAGGAATGTTTTCTGCCTTACCAGGTATCCCCAGCATCCAACACAGTGCCTGGCACATAGTAAAGCAGTGATTATCTGTGATAATTTCAAAAATCATAGCAAGAAATCATTCCTGCTTTTTTGTTTATTTGAACATAGGGCTTTTTGTTGTTTTGGAAGATTTTCAGAAGAATTTTCTTGCTTGAACCCCTTGTGCTACAGAAAAAGTAATTCTCCAGAATAGCACCTCCTTTTCTTTTTTTATTTTGAATCCTAATTTGAAGAATACAAGTCATAAGGTTAAGTCACCGTGTTGCAGTACATAAACAATCAGAGAAACATTCCCAAACTGTCAGCTTTAAAACAGTGGCATGAGAAGCACTTATTCTGTTGTGCTGTCCAAAGGAGTGTTATAGCCAGGGATGTGTTCTTTTTGTACGATAAAAAGAATCTGTAAATTAGATGTGCAAAATAATTGTATCTGTATAGCAAAAGCACATATTTAGTGAAATGATTAGCGTTGAAAAGTACATAAAGGGCAGACAAGCAAATGCCACAGTATTTAGGGGAACAAAGAGATTCTGTGAATGTAGCATTCAGGTCTTACTGATTGCTTTACAACACTGGAACAGAATGGGAAATGAAACATGGTAGGTAGTTGACAAATACTTCCTGAACTAGATTATATGTAAATGTCACATTGGAAAATATTTATGCTGTCCCAGTGTGATCCAATGAAACGTTAGCCTCTAGTGTAGAAACAAGAAAAATCGGAAAGTACAACATGAATAGGTACATGATAATACAGTATTGATTTTTTAAAAATTTCCTCTGACTGCACAAGACCTCAAAGCCCACATCTTTTCCAAGGATGGGAGCTCAGTTCCAAAAAAGTTAAATAAGTTGCAAAGGTCATTGAGCTATTTAATTGCAGAACCAGAATTAAAATCTAGATTTTCTGATTCTCAGTATAATGTTAATGGATTTTTTTAAATTTGGTTCCGTCCATGCTAATAAATGTAAGTAGATAACCTAAAAAATAACCCTGAAAAGTTTGCTTGGGGGAAATAAAAATTCATGTCAATGCAGGCATGCGTACAATGCCAGGTACTGGCATGACCTTGTGTTTTGTGAGATAAATGGGAATAGGGAAAAGAGAGGGCACGGAAACAAATTATCTGCCCCCAGGTACTACATCTGGAATAACACTTGCTTTGTCCCCAGCACTGGAAAAGAACACCCACAGTTGCTCGCCCATAGGGTAGATGTTGCCTCCTGTAGCCAATTTTTTTCAGCCAGTTTTGCAACTGACATCACATTCCCAGCCCAACCCTACGTGTAAAAACGTACAGTACCGCCAAACGCTACCTCTAATTTCCAGTGCTGGTAAAAGTTGTGAGGCCAGAAAATGAAACTTCAGTATTTTAGAATTCATTTAAATTCCCTAATTGTAATCTATGAAAAACTATACTACCCTCTGCTTTCATGATTTTTCTTTTACTATCTATTTAAGCAAATAACACAAGATAGGAAACCTTTCAGAGATAATTGCAAATGCAACTTTTACAGAGCTTATATGTATTCATGTCTGAGAAATTCCAAAAGAATCAACTGAAAAACCATTAGAATAACTTTTAGAGACACAGGGTCTGTAGTAATTTTAGTTATGCTAATGATCTTCTATCTCAAGGGACGGCTAGAATGTAAAGTGTTTTCTCAGTGGGACAGGAGTGTGAGTATTAAACTGAGGGCCTCGTGGATGCTAAGCTTGGGCCTGCTATAGCGTCTCAGCCCCCAGATTATCTGACTCCGGCAGCGGAGTTCGTTTGGGAAACTACTTCTGGTGTTTTTGGAGACATATTTTGGAGACATGGGCATTCAAAGGCAGATCACCTAGTGGGAATGTTTCCGTATGTCGCCTGCTATGTATCCACGTATGGTGCTGATGCCAAAGAAGCTGAAATAAATTCTTGTCAAAATATTTATGAGCTTGATTGAAGCTGCTAGAATGTGTAAAAAAAAAAAAAAATTAAACAAAAAGCAACCACATGGTCCTCAGATTTTAGATTCTTTGTATCTTCTGCTTATATGAGTGACAATCATAATCTTATATTCAAGTAGTTTACACATTTAACATAATGTGTTGTTGGGTTTGATAAATAAAAATCTTGTGTTTTGAGTTTTCTTTAATTTAGTAAGCAACATTACACTGTTGCCTTCAGTCTGATTGTTAGAGAAGTGTATTTCCCTAGAATCATTTAACGTGGTGAAAAAAAATCTTTAGGTTTTCTAATAGTGTATCTAAAGCAAAGCCGGATGAGCCAAGTCCGTTTAAAGTGGGGAAACCTCCGTTTCACTTACTACCTGTGGTCCATTGTTTCCTTGTTTTCACGGGCTACAGGGTTTGAGGCCTTATCTCTTGTAGTGTTTAAAGAAGTGGTATTTCCATGTGTGGTAAGAGCTTCTTATCAAGAGTATTTTGTGCTCTTACCTCAAAAATAATAACTATGTGAAATACCACTTGTTAATTAACTAGATCCACCTATTTCACAATGTTTGTACACTTCAAAATATTAAATGGCACAGGGTGAGACTGTACAGTGCTATCTGTCAGTTTAAAACAAATAAAGACAGGTTAAAAAAAAGAAAAAGAAAAAGAGGTCCGATTTTTAAGTCAATCAGCTTAAAAATCAGACCTCAGTAAATCCTGCGTCCCGCTGGTGTGGCATGTCTCTGAGGAGAACGTACCATGGCAGTCATAGCTGGTAAGCACTCGTCCCAGGACTTAGCTTCGCACCTACCCTCATTGCCATGTAGACTGCACAGCATACGTGGGAAAACTCACTCAGATTCCACAACACTACACATCTTCTCAGTACTGTACCTCAAGAACATCTGAGAAACAGATTTTTGTATAAGATGTGTTTTGATGGACATGCCTCTCTAAATTTTGACACCCTCTTATCTGAATCAGAACAGTTTATTGTTCTCTGGGGTTGAAAAGTTCTCATGTTTAGGATACTATTATAAAGAAAAGGAATGCACTTGCCTGCTAATCGTCTGTTTTCCCCTTTGTTTACACATTCTAAATTTTTAGAACTTATAAACAAAAATGAAGTTACTTCCACTGTGCATGGGGAAGTAAAGAAAAGGGACTGCTCGGGTGGGTAGCAAGCCCATGTGTTCGGGTGCTGTGAGTCGCAAAGGTGACAGTTCCTATTCCTGAGTAGATTATTAAAGATTTTTGTCTTCTCTACGATTGCTTGGGCAATGGTAGCAACAGTACTGTGTGTGTGTGTGTGTGTGTGTGTGTGTGTGTGTGTGTGCATGTGTGAGTGTAGTGACAGTTATATTAAGTCAGTAAAATGATCTATTTCCTCCTTGTCCAAGGATTTCCTGCTGCAGATATTCACTGTGTTCCGAATACTGATCCGCCCGGAGATGTTTCCCAAGGACTGGACTGTGATGCGCCTGGTTGCTAACAAGTAAGACATTGTAGTTGGTGATAATTGCAACTCAGTGTACAGGGGAAGGCAAAAGCGCAGAATGATCTTTTTAGTTTCACCTCAAGTTTGAAACCTCCAAGTCACAGAGTTTTTTTGCTTTGCCTCTGAATTAACTTTTCTGTCTTTTGTTTTAAAAATTACTATTCATCTCAAATTATTTGTTTTGAATGTCTGGACATCATTCTAAACCAAACAATATAACTGGGTATGCACTGAAACCCTGTCCCTACCTGCTTTCTCTGCCTGCTGCTCTAGCCTGTGGCGGTAGTAATCATTTTTGTTGTTTCACACAATCTTCCACTATCTCTTTATGCGTGTTCTAGCAGGCAGCATTGCTTTTGCTTGAAAATCCTGGCAGACAAAAAGCCTCTCATTCCCTTACGCTTTTACGTTTCTTCTGCAGCTGAATAATCTTCCATTGGCTGGGTACACCCTGGTTTATTCAATGAGTCTCCTGTTGCTGGACATAGAAATCATTTCTCATCTTTTTAAATTCTTTTTAACTCAACCAAATTTATTAAGCATCTACTATGTGCTGAACCCTGGTACTACAATATGAGCTTTGAATTGAACACAAGAAAACTGCAGTTCATTTTATTCATCCAGGTAATACGGCCAAGAAGGGACTGAAAATGTGCTCTGAGCCAAGTTCAGATATAGACATTTTAAAAATTGGGAGTTGATAAAATTAGCTTATGTAAGCATACCCCGTCCCCACAGAATAGAATGATAAGGGCAATATTTGCAAGAATAGGAGCCAAGAAGGGAGAAGAGGGTGTGGTCAGTATGGCAGTCACCATCCACGGAGGGAACAAGGTCATGGACCTGTCTGTTCCCTCAGCGTCATGTGCCCCTATTCTCAGGGTATAAAATGAAGGTGAATTTTTTTTTTAGGAAACTTGCCTGGTCCTCTCTTTGAAAGTCATTATTTACCCTGTCATTAACATCCTCCCTTCCCAAGCCTGCGCTTGCTTCTCTTCCCCACCCCCTCTCCAAATGCCACCTCCGTCATGTGCAGGGTGAAGGTTAGATTCTCGTCTCTCTGTAGACCAGGGTCACCATATGTCTGCCCCAGATGCCCTGGTGTGACAGTGGCGAGAGCCCCAGGCATGTAGGACTCAGTTTTGATGAGACATGTTAATAGGGCTTCTGCTGCAGCCTACATTTATAGACTTAGAGGTGTGAAAATGATGTGTTAAAAACTTTGTGAAGTAACAAATAGTATAATATGGCATATTGTATTTTACATAAGTACAGAAGCAGCTTTTCCATTTTGAAGACTAATTGAGACTGGTGAAATAGTTTTCTTTAGAATTTAGCATATATCATTTGATATCTGTGAGTAGAATCAAGTGTCTATTCCTCTGTCTGCATTCCACAGATTTAAGTTAGAGCTGTTGCTCATCAACCTGGCCTTTTTACCAGGTTATCAAACACTCAGGGACCCTGGAAAGGGTTGTGAAGTGACCCAGGCAGCCAAGTGGGAAGGGGTCCAGGCTGCTGAGGTCCTCCTCACGTAATCAGCCTTTGGTCGTTCTGCCTGCCCCCCATGCATGTAGCATGTTGGCTTCAGTTAGAATTTTCAGTGGCAGAGTTTTATGCTGAAAGTAAATTTAACATTGTCTTCCTGAGGCACAAAAGCTCTGCTTGAGATCGGTGAAAACCATAACAACACTGTGACCTTTCGGTGTTAAACACTGTCTCTGTCTGCCCACCTGAAAATCCCTATTCTGTTTATGAACACTTTGATGGTCTCACGAGCAGGCAGCAGACTAAGGAGTGTAGATCCTGCTTTGGAATAAATGTATACTGTCTGGGATTTCTTCTACAGTGTTCACCAAAGAGGAACACGATTTTGTTAGAGATGAGCTCTGTAATATATTTAAACGGAAAATTTCTCCCATAGCAAAGCCAACAAATTGGCCACAAGCCTTTGCTGTGTGCCTTCATGCCACTCTGTTGCCACCCACGTGAGTGCTGATGACAGTCTGGCTCTGCTTGTCCACTGACAGTGACAGGTAGCTGCAAGTCCAGCCTCATTCGTGTAGCCAGAACTCCCCAGATGAGACACCTGCCAAGTTGGAGCAGACCACACGCTGTGTGCTTGTGACTTGCCTCTCCTTTTCCCTCTTCCCTCTCCTGTTCCTGCCTGGCCATTTTGCCTTCAATTTCTGGAAGCCTGGGAGACACGTCTTGCTTTATAAATGCTATGGAGTAGTCCAGAAATGAGCCCTCGGTCTTTGGCTTTATCTGTGAAAATTATTAACCTCTCTCATATTGGTAGAAAAAGTAGGTTTCTGAAAGATGTTTTTTAAAAAACATTTTCATATGTTAAACAGCGTACAGTGAAAAGAAAGTATTCCCATCTTGCCCAACTGTGGAGAAGTTGCAGGATTCAGATCTGTGTCTCTGAAGCTGAATACCTTCTTTTTCTTTCATAGTATTAATATTCTGGGACAACATTTAGCAAGGCCTTTTCAAGGAGGAATTTTAACCTAAACTTCCACATTATTAACCCATTTGTGTGCTTACAATGTGTGCAGTGGACAGCAGCTGCCTGAGAGGTCATCACTGCCCAACCCTAGAACTCAGGTGGATAGCTCATCCCTCAGAAGAATGTTCTTTTATATCTTGGCCCTTTGTTCTTGTGTTTTCAAGTGAATGAAATGTCTTTAACTTTCATCCATGATAGTCTTATCTCAAATCTTGTAGCTTTCCTGCTGTGTGAGAAGTCCTACTAAAAGCTGTGCCCAGAGTCCTGGCGATTTGTGTGGGTTTTGTTTATTTCTACCTGAATGTTGATGTTTTATAACACAGCAAGTGTGGCCAGTTTAAATTCCACAAGAACAAGACATTTCTCCGCTTGCTTGCTTGCTTCACAGCTACTCAGACCTATGACAGCTTCCTGGGAGATGCTTCTGGGAGGAGAACAGCTCAATTTGAGAAAGAAGGAGCAGAAGGAAGATGGAAATGTAGTGCCAAAAATACAGGACAATTTGAGAGAAGCTTCTCTCCACCCGCTTCCCATACACATTGTTAAAAAAAAAAGTACAAAAATAAAGTCACAGCTTTACATATTTTCAAGGCGATAAATCTTATAGCACAATTGTCTACTGAGAAAAGCAGAGCTTCCTATCCTTTCACTTGAAATTTCAGGTTCTCATCTTGTCTTGTATGCCTGTTGGCCTCAAACAAACATTAGCCAATAAGTTTCAAATGAAACCTACATAGCCAATGAGTGACCTGTTGAAGATTTTTAGGGGAGGTCATTCCTTCATTCACTAACCCACATATTCAGCGGATTTCTTCCAGTGTCACTATAAAGACAAAGAGCACAAGTCTGTGAGGGTATTTATGAAAGGAACTTTGTTCTGGACTAGATTAGAAAAGGTCTTTTATGAGGGGCTGAAACTTAGTCAGACATGCAAACAGCAAAAAAAGAACATTCCCATCAGTAGGAAAAGCCTATCCAAAGGTCCTGTGGTCAGAGGAAGCATGGACCCCTTGAGGAACTAAGAGATTGTTAGTGTGGGGAAGAAAGGAACCAAACAAAAGGGGAAGACATGGCCCAGGTATTGGTGGGTAAGAGACAAAAGAGAAACCAGGGAGAACAGTTAGGAGCTCATTGCAACCATCCAGGTAAGAGATACTCATGCCTGGGTAAGTGGATAACAGTGAAGGTAGTGAGAAGATCAAATTTGAAGATAAAGATGACCAGGCTATAAATGGGAGTAAAAAAAGCAATTGAAGATGGTCTGTATATTTTGGTTTGAACAAAAAGATAAACTGTGGTGTCATTCATGTAGGTGCAAAATCCAGAGAGAGTGTTAGGGGGCTAGGGGGTGGCAAAATGGAAGAATTCTGTATCAGACATAAATTCCAGATGCTCTTCTATATCCCAAGTAGAGATATAGAAAAGAAAGCTAGATGTGTTTGACTAGAGCCAGGGCAAAGGCTGGGCTTGGAGACGTTTGCTAGGGCTATGAGTATATAGGATTTGAGGCCATGGAACTGGGTGAGGGTTGTCGGCAGCTCTGTAGAAGAGTTTTCTTATAAAAGGGAGCAAAGAAGTAGGGCTGTGTTGGGAAGGAGATCCAGGACTAGGGATCTTCTCTAACTATGGGTATGGTAGCATTCTGATTGAGCAGCAGGGATGGCCCTGGAAATATGGAAATATGAATGATGCTAAAGAAAACAGGGCTAATGAAGGGAAGGCTGTCCTTGGTCGGCAAGGGGAGGTGGTACTGGATTCAGTGTGGCGCACACAAGTCCAAGAATTCTCCATTTCCTGCTCACAGTGAGCTGCACCTGAAAATAAGCCCATTGTACAGTGTTTTTGTGTGTCATTATTTCTGGCATTATTTTTGTGTAAGAGTTTCTCCGTGAAGAAGGTTTACCACATGTACAGTAGCACTGACCTGCACACACCAAGGAAGCTGTGCCTCAAGCGGGAGCAGTGACAGCATGTCCACAGTGACAGGAAGGAAGACGGGCTTTGCAGTAGCAAGCCCGCAAGGTTTAGTGGCACAGTAGATATCTGTGGAACACCCACTGGCACACTTGCTGTTGGTCTGTTCTTATGGAGGATGCTTATCCTTAAAGTGCAGTGAGCCTCACAAGTGAGCATGGGAGGAATAAGATACTGACTTCTATCAAAACTACTTGGAACTATGATGCATGTATCAAATAGTTACTGCAAATGCTTATGCAAGAATCGCTTGCACATTGCATTTCTGGGTGACTTGTGGGGAGTTGGTGAGAACAGACACCTGCAAGGAGGACTTTCGTAGGGCCAGGCCTATTGCATCAGAGTAGAGATTGTTGCCACCAGACTGATGTCCTACCAGTACTTCCTTGTGCAATACTGATGAAGAGAATTTCAGAATCACCGCACCTCAGTCTTCATCTTTCTCTTTTCCTCACCCACATTGCACTGCTTCACTGACAAAAAGCAAAGTCACTCCTTTTCCTAGTCCCATCCATGGATCAGCTTTGCCTAAGTACAGTGTCTTCTTCAAACAAGCGTCACATTTTAGAATGATCTAATCTGGTAAAGTTTAACAAAGCACGATTCAAATGTAGTAAGGAAGCTACAGTCATTCAACAAACACTTAGTAGACGAGGCACTTCATGGGTGATACAGTAATATGCAAGGCCAGATTCCCCAGATAGCAGTGTTTTCCACATTCGAGCACATATGTCTCTTGTCGTAGTTAACTGTCTCACATGGACACACAATGCCCGACACCCACAGCTTAAAGAGGGCCCGTGGTTTCAGTCTGTGGTCAGCTGGCCCTGAGGCAGAAATGGTATTGCAGAAGGGCCTGGTGGAGGAAAGTTGCTCACATCACGGTGGCCAGGAAGTGGAGAGAGACGGACAGAGCTGAGGAGGGAGATGGACATGATTTTCATGCATCCTGAAGTTTGAGACGCACTCATTTGGATGAATCCCCTCGAAGGCTAAGATTTCACCTTTGCTAAGTGTCTTTGCATTGATTTCTGTTGTTCTGGTTAACCCACCAGGTTGTCGTAAAGTTGCACTCTACATTTAGATTTTCTGAGTCCTTCAGTGTGTGAACGTCAACACTGTTGAGACTCCATTTGTCCACAAAGTGTTTCTGCTGGTCCATGTCTGAGTTTTTGGAGCTAGGTTTGTGCTTAAGCAGATGACCAGGTTGGGGGAGCTTTCAAAAGAATAAATTATAGGACATGAGTTTTGTGGGGGGCTGTAGAGTTGACAGGGACAAATAGGGTTGACTGAGCATAATTCCTAAATTGCACAATGAGGTAGCAACTGGAAAGCCATGAATAATAGCTGATTCCCTGTGCATTGGTCCCCTTTTCTTGTTTTGTTCCATGGGCATAGATTATGGTTGTCACACATAATTCTTGTGTCTGAATTTCTGTGGCAGCAATCAGTGATATGGCCATTCATGGTAGCAGATTGCAAACTTTGCTCAGCTATTAAGTGGGAGCCCTGAGATTTGAAATAGCCTGGTATTCAGAAACTGAATCAGGGGAAAAAGAATAAAGCCAGAAGAGCCACATGGTTTTAGATAAATTGGAACAAATAAAGAAAGTCCCTGCACTCCACAATTACCCAGCACAGTGGAGAGGCAGTAATATATAACTGCTTTTAGCTGGCTTGGGGACCTGTGAGAGGTCCCTTTCCATAGATGACTTACTGTGGACAGCTCCAGAGCTGCCTCTGGGACTAGGCGTGAAAGTTATAGGCATTAAATGAAGCTTTTGAAGTAGAGTCGTTCAAGGTCTTTGTAACCCTAAGAAGTCTTACTTTTGGATGTCCTATTCATCATAATGTCAAATATTTTAAATAGAGCTATCTGCCACATTAGATATTTTTTGCTAAAGAAAAAAATTATAAGCATTTTGTACATTTATCTGTTAAATTATTGGCCTGCAGAGAAATCACTTAATTTTGATTAGTTGTGATTTCTCAGCATTTATGCATATTTAAGAATTCTTGTGAAGTAACCAGAGGTAAGCTGTAGTTGTCTAACAGAAGAAAAAGTGTATAAATATCAAATTGACAGTTCATAAAATTCAGCATTACGTTCTATAGAATGTTTTTTAATTTTTATTTCACAGTTGTAGTTTGGTTTTATAACATTTCTTCAGGTCTCAGTATTTTCCAAAGCCCCTGACACCAGGGACCTCTTTGTGTCCAGTGAGAAAGCAAGGCAGGCAAGAGGGTGATGTGTTCAATCTAGAAATAAGGTCCGTGTTATGGTTTGTGTCTAACTGTACCCCAGAGCCTCATGGGGTCACTGGGCAGGCTTCTAGAGTTTTTGATTGATTCATGGTCCAATACAGGGATTATGGGTGTGAGTGCTCCACCTGCCCTGGGGCGGGTAGCTTGCATACAATATAAGAGAGGGAAAGAGGCTTGCTCTCCGCTTCTCCCTTTTTGCTCTTACTGCTTCTGCTGTTTTCTGCCACCGTGAACTATTGCCCTCGGCCATGTACCACTCTGCCCTGTAGCTAGCTGATTATGGACCTCCACAAACTGTGAGCTAAATAAACCTTTCCTTCCTCAATTTTGGACATCAGGTATTTTGTCTCGGCAATGAGAGAAAAGTAACTAAGACAGTCTGCATGTCAAATTAAAGAATGATGTGAATCTGCTGAACCTCTAGAAGTCAGAAGAATACTGAAGTAGAATATGCTGGAAGGTGGTTTTCTGATGCAGCTCCTCAGGCCTTGCTCTCCCAGCAGTGTTCTGGGGACCAATAGCATTCGCATCACCTGAAGCCTGTTAGAGGTGCACAGTCTCAAGCCTCAAGGTCATAATTAAGTCACAGGTACCCATTAAAATTTGAGAAACAGAGGTTCTGAGCTCTGGGTACCTGTGAGAGTCACCCAGAAGCTTGGACAAGACTCAGGTCCAGTTTGTACCCCAGACTAGGCATCAAGCTCTCTGTGATTGTGACCCAGACATCTGTATTCCAAACCCCGGGTGATTCCAGTGCATGGCCCATTTGAGACTCGCTGTTCCGGAGCAAGACCTCAGACATACATTGTTTACCAGCAAGTGTAGTTCCAGAAGCCATCAATATTGTGTGTGTCTGTGTTTGGGACCCAGCATATAAATACCAAATACCAATTTGTTAATCCTTGAGCAGAAGAACCTCTCCACTGGAAGATTGTTTGTCAGCTCCCTTCTAGGACCTGAGGCCAAATTGTTTAACTCCCAGCTATGCCTTGTTTCACTGACACTAGAGGTTATTATTTCTGAACAACAGTCCAAGCTGGAGTTATGGGCCAGAAGGTGATTTTCTGTGTAAAACCCAGGTATACTGGAATTGTGCTTATTTCTCTACTGAACATCAAAGTAGGAAGTTTGTGCCTATAACCACTAAAGGATAAATTTCTCCTTTTACTTCCTTTGTGTTTTAGTGCTCATGATTGAACCTGTGCCTTGCACATGCTAAGCACGGGCTCTACCATTGAGAAACACACCTAACACCTTCAAATATTTTTTTCTTTAAACCTATCAGTTCAGTGATTTTTTTACTGGATGGAAGACAAAGAACCCCTTCCTTACCTGATAGCATTTCATTTTCTAATAATTAAGATTTAGTTTCACATAGTAAAATTTGAGTAAAATATTTTGGGAACCTCAATGATTTTTTTTTCAATTATCATTGATTTTGCTAGAGTCTATGGAAAATTGCCACCTTGTACAGTCATTTGCACTGGTTTATCTCTTTAATATGAAATTCAGATGATATCAGCTATTTGGGGGGCTGAAAAAAACCACAGGAATCCTCAGTCTCATGGATTTTCTTAAACATAACTTTCACAGCAAGATTCTTTGGAAGATATAAATGATACATATAAAATATAAATGCATATAACATGGTTCCTGATCATGACAGAACTTCTTGCCTGAACTTCTGCCTTCAATTACCCAACCCCTTAGCTCTCTTAGTGTTTTCCTAGTCCCCAAGAAGGATGTAATAGTGAATTTTCCAGCAGATGATAGCAATAATGAGCATTTATAGATCCTTCAAGGACTATAAATAGTCTTCTAATTAGTAAATGTTCATCTACTTTCTGTTGTACTAGTACCATAACCAAGGAGCAAAGTTGGTGGGGTGTTTTGTTTTGTGTTGTTCTATCTAGGGTCATACAACTGTATCCTTCAAGCCTAAATCCTGTGATAAGGCTCACTACATCATAACACTGTGTCATGCATGTATCTCAGAAAAGGCCAGAGAAGTTTTAAATACCAAGCATTGCATGTTGGTGTTTAGTTTATAGTAGTTCAGGGGATGACTTATCTTCTTTCAATATAAAGTTGCGTCTGACATTAAATTGGAAACATATTCAATTTTGAACATACTGTATACTCTTCTGGCTATAAAAACAAGCAGATTTTGAACAAATTGCAGAACTTTAGAACTAAGCAACAGTGCTCACCAGTCTCCCAACAAGACACACATGACTGTAGATGGGCCCCAGTTAGACTTTCCCGCTGTCCTGTCCTGGCAGTGCCCCTTTCTGAGAATGCCTGTGACACTTCCAGTTGCACATGGCTTAGTCCCGGGTTATAGACAGTTTTAGTCACTGTTATTTCTTAAGCAGCAGTCTTGTCCACCTGAGAGAGTGAGTCTTCCTTCCCTAGCTCTCATGTGCACTCCAGCACCTTAAATGGGGAAGAACAGCAGGAATGCATCTAATAAACACATGCTACAGCCTGTCACTCTGCCCTGTTTTATCTTAGGCTCTCTGTCCTTCGTAATAGTCAAAGATGGAGTTTTAGGTTGGTATTAAACATTTTGCTTTGTTCAGAAATTAATAAAAAACATGTAAGACATCAAGATATTAATGTATTTCTGAGTCTTGTGAATTCATATAGATCTTTCTGTGTGTCATTTTATAAAGAAACTGACTTTAGTAATTTTCTTTTTTTCCTTTTTGCTTGGTGTCTCTCTCTTTTGAATTATCTAACATTCAAGTGCATACTGAAGGAGGTTTTCTTTTATCTCACTTGCTTTTGATTCTTATCTATTAAATGAGTTTCACTAAGGTGAAGTTTTCAACTTAAAATGTTTTCTTTTTATCTCTAGTGTTATTATCACAACAGTTCTGTACCTCTCAGATGCACTTCGTAAAAACTTCCTAAATGAGAACTTTGACTATAAGGTAAGTATCCATTCTGTCTCAGGCTAAAAGACTCACACTGTATTTTAGGAAATTACCAACTTTTTTTTTTTCCTGGGCTATATTAGTTTTAACTGTTGAATAACACGAGAACAGTTTTCATTATTTTGGGGGACAAGGTAGGGCTATGATGTTTGTCAGCCTAGTAGAAATTACTGCTTAAAGGAAGATAGCTCTTCATTGATAATCTAAACTTTAATTCTTGCCCTTTCCTGTACAATTTCAACGCATGACAAAGGCAACTTAGAACACAATATTTTCAAGACTTTTTAAAAATATGGTTTATATGAAGAAAAAGTTTACAAAGTAAACACTTCCCTTCTGAACTTCTTTAGTGTCCAGTGTTTCAGACTGGATTAATTAAAAAATACGCAAAGTTAGTGAGATTCAGACAGAACTCTCTATGTAATATACAGTGATATACCAGGGAGCCTGTAAGTTCTTACGACTGTATTTTTAAGTGGCAAGTGATAAATGGAAAAGAAAGACGGGCAAGGTTCTATTTGGGCATTTTGTTTTTTATTCTTTTTTGACCATTTTTCTTACAACATTTAATAAAACTTGCTACTTGGTTATGTAGAAAATACAAAAAAGCTGAAATACAATAAAAAATTTAACGGTTACCTAATGGAATTCTAATGGTTACCTCTTTCTCTAAATTATAACATATAGTGATATATCAAACAACCAGAGCTCTACTTTTTGATACTTGTTTTTTCTTTATTTAATTTTTATAAATTACCCTTTTTATGTACATCCTTACACAATCAAGCTTGGCATATGCCCCTAATTATCTCTTTGGATAAATGTTTGCTAGTGGAATTGTTGACTTAAAGGTGATACAAATTATAATAACTACCTGTTTCTCTGTATAGGAGAAGAAGCAAGATTTTTTGTTATTTTGTTGTTTTCATTTTTGTTTTTCACAGTTACAGAAGGGGAAAACTGTTTTCCCATTTAATTTGTATTTACTAATTATTAGTTGTTAACTAGTTACTAGTTACTGACTAAAGTTCAAATCTTACAAGTCATAGTCTTTTTATTTGTAAGAGCACTTTACGTGTTACAAACACTCTTTGTTGTATTCCGGTTTGTTATTTGTCTAATTTTGCATGGTATCAGTATAGACACAGTTTCCTTCCACTGTGTCCTACATGATTTTTAGTAACTTTATTTGGGGAAGTTTCATTCTGCTCACTTTCTGATGTATCTGTTGTAGGAAAATTTAGACTCAAAAGATTTGTCTGGGCGAAGAACCTTTGAATACTGTCTTAAGGCAACTAGCATATCCAAAGAAGTATATACATTTTTTAAAGTTCTGTATTAAAAGGAGCTCCAAAAGTGAATTTGCACGGGAATAAAGTAGTCCATCTTATATTGCAGCCTCTCTGGAGATACTCAGACACATTACAAGAGAAACAAAACATCTACCATTTAGCATATACCAGAGAGCTCATGGAGCCTGGGATTCTGCTTTGAAGGAATTTTTAAATAGTTAATATTCATTTAGTTAGTTTGCTTCTTTACCATAGAAAATGCATAGCATATATTGCACAAAATAGAGAGACTGCTATAATGATAACCCATGTATTCATGTCTGGCTTTGACAGTGATCAAGTCATGGTCAAGCTTATTTCAACTTAACCTCCATCTACTTAACACCTTTGAAGCATAGACAAGATATCAGGCCACTGTAACACAGTAGTTTTTGAATTATGTTGTTCTTGTTTTAGATCTGGGACTCCTACTTTTACCTTGCAGTCATTTTTATAAACCAGTTGTGTCTGCAGCTGGAAATGTTCACACCTTCCAAAAAGAAAAAGGTATTAGAAAAGTAAGTACCAGTGTATAATCGGGTGGGAAATGTTGCCTTTTAAAGGGTGTTTATCCAAATGATTCACAGATCAAAATGTCCATAACTGGAAATCACATATGGAAAAGCAATGACAAAAGGGACAGCAAGTAATTTGTATGGGAATCTTTTGTCTTGAATCTTTCAGGACTCAAAATTAGTACAGCAACAACAACAACAAAAATTATGAAACATCTGTTTCACTAAAATGTTTATGTAAAGATTTGATTTCAAGGCACCGAAATAAACATACTAAACATCTTTAAAAACATCTTGTTATTTAATCCATAATGTTAGGTTGCATTCTCCAAAAACTTCTTTGTTCTGGAGGCTCTGTATCAGGCTTGACCTCTTTTCTATTACAGGTATGGTGACATGCGGGTGACAATGGGTTGTGAAATTTTTAGCATGTGGCAAAACCTCGGTAAGTGATGGAAAGAGAAGCCACTTCCATTGTACAGCTAATCGTTCTACTTATAAGTGAAGAAATAAAGGCCAGTTTACCAGTGGCAGCATTTGAACCAGATGTTTAATCAATACAGATATCTGTAGAAAGTAATTAACATTATGGCATTGAATAAGGCCGCAACTAATTCTTTAAATTGATGTCAATCTGTAAAATCACCTTACATTTGTATGTTTCATTATTAATGATAAATTTTAGAATTTAGCATTGCTCCAACATTATACACATCACTTCTAGCAATGAGCTAACCTTTCTGCATTTGGGACTGTAACAATTCAGAATTTCTAGAATTCTGATTGAGGCTATGAATCATCATCAATTTAGATTAAGCTTCATGAAACATTAACTGAAGTATCCCCGCTCTAAAAAACAAAATTCCAGCCACTGACCTGTGTCATAAAGAGCATAGCCAAAGGACTTTGAAAGCATCTGCAGTTGCTAAGAGACTGTTAGATCCAATTTTGTTAACCTGCCACAGCGGATAGAGCATATTATTCTAGCAAATTGATGGCACAGGTCTGGTTGTACAGAAAAGAAAAATATTTAAAAACTAAATTGTTTTAAAATTCATTGGCATAGGATCTCTTTCTAGAGACTGGCAATATTTAATTTGGTATGTGAACTATACAAGTTGTTGGAATTCATTATTATTGCATTTTAATTCCTCGGGATTTATTAAAACGATTGACCTATTTGAGTTGAGAACTAATGACATGACAGTGTCCTCTCTTGGCGTGTCCAAGCATGGCTTGAGATGGCAGCGTCTGTTTTCTGTGAGTGAGCAATGCGTTATTTGTTTGCTTGTTTGTTTGTTTTATTCTGCTGAGGACAAGTGGGGAAAGGCACATGAATTGTAATGGCTTAACTTCTTTTAAACATGAAGCTGAAGGACTTTGAAATCTGATTACTGTACCCCCCAGACTTATCTGTGACTTATCTTGCCAGCTTTCTGAGACCTAGAACTGCTTAGGTATCTTGTGTTATTTTTCAACCATAGTCATCCTCTGGTAGACATTGAGTTGTGTGTGCTAGACATAGAAGTCTAAAATCATATAACAAGTGATCTGTAGCACTAAATGTGCTTTTATGATAATTATTGAATTACAAAAAGTTGAAACTTTTTCCTAAATAAGTCTTTGGATCCTTTAGTGTGTATTAAGCACAGAACTTGGCCAAATGAGTATAACTTCTCTCTCCTCTTAGTCTTCGGTCTTTGGGGCAGAGTCCTAAAAGCCATTTCCCCTTCACAGGGATGAATCAGTGGCATTGCTAGTTTGTGCTTCGGCCCCAAGAGATGCATCTGCTTAGGAGCAAAACCCTGTGAGTAAGCGGGGCAGGACTTCTCTCTCCCATGAAACTACAAGAGATCCTGGGGACAGAGACTGTTCGGGCTCTGCGTTGGAACTTTGGTTTATGCCCCTTGTCCCCAGGATATGTGGAGCACTGGACACACTGTCCTTTTCTTATGATTAAAATAATTTATTTTTAAAATGTTTTTGATTATGGTAAAATGCACATGCAATTTTACCATCTTAACCATTTCTTCATGTATGGTGTAGTCAGAGGAAGTACATTCACATTGCTTCTTTTCTTTTTTTGGTACTGGGAATTGAACTCAGAACCTCACCTTTGCCAGGCAGGTGCTATACCACTGAGCTGTATCCCCGGCCCCTAGTACTTTCACATTGGCATCCAAGCGCCACCACCACCGCTCATGTACAAAACTTTTCCTCTTGCAAAGCCGAAGTTCTATACCCACTAAACAGTAATTCTCCATTCCTCTCCTCAGCCTTGGACCCACTATCCTACTTCCTGTCTAAATCTCACTACCCTGGGTCCCTCAGAAGTGGAATAATGCAGTAGTTGTCCTTTGTGACTGGTGTATTGCACTTAGCAGGATACTGTCAAGATTCACCCATGTTTTTAAAATGTATTGGAATTTCCTTCCTTTTTAGAGTCAAATAATATTCCCTGATAGGAATCTGTTACTTTCTTTCATCCATTCATCCGTCAGTGGACACTTAGGTGGAAACCCTTGGGCCAGTGGGAATAAGGCTGCCCAGAGATCTATTGGAGGTGGTGCACGGAAATCTGAGATCCTGCTTGCAGTTCCTTTAGGTTGATGTCCAGAAGTAGGATTGGTGCATCGTATGGTAATTCCACTGTAATGTTTTGAGAAACTACCATACTATTTTCCACAATTGCTGCATCGTTTTACATTCCTACCAACAAAACATAAGGATTCTAGTTTACATCCTGGCCAACACTTGCTGTTTCCTCGTTTTTTTATAGTCACCAGCCTAATGGGATAATATCACATTGAGGTTTTGGTAAAATCTTTTATTTTTGATGAGTCACTACCAACTAGTAGTAAGTGACCACCTTTGCTGAAACCTAGTCATTCCACAGATTTTCATTATCTAAGTTGAAGGACTAAAAATATTCTGTTAAGAGGAAAAGGTGCCTATTTTCCCTACCAAATTTTACCAATGTATACCAATACCTACAGCCTAGTCTGCAAAGACAGTAGTTAGCCTTTCCTACTGTGTGCCCCCTTTGGGACCTCATCTTGTGGCAAGGGTAAACTTTTTATGTCTATTTTTGGGTGAACTCACATTCTTACTAAATATAAAGTGGGCTTTCTGTGCTGCATTTGCAAACACAGTGTCTTGGAACTGCTGTAGAAAACTCAGCACTTCCCTAGCAGGCTGTTCTGTGTGCATAAATATAAACCTCCAACAGCCCAAGTAGCAGGTGCCCTAAATACTTCAAAACAAGACCATGTGGCTGACAGTTAGAGATGGGGAAAGTATACTAAATCCGTGGTTTAAAAAGAAATCATTTAAATGAAGTTTAGTTTGCTGTTGCCATACATAGCTCAAAATGTGGCTTTGCTGGTTCAATAGGAATTAAATTTTCAATGGCCAGAAAGCCTGTTGAGGTTTGCACAGATTCTGTGTGCTTAAAGTGTGTTCTCAGCAAGGAAGGTGGCCCTTCATACATTCTTGCACAATAATTTAAATGTAGGTGTTGCTGCTCTGTGACTTTTTTTATGGACTTTGTTTGGGTTGTGATTACAATAAACAATTATAAATGACATGTTCTAAGCCATCAGAGAAAATTTAATACTGACTGCATTTTTAATTAAAAATTAATGTTTGACTTAAGAGAAAGGCGCTGAGATTCTTATATACCTAAAACGTCCTGTATAGTAAAGACATGTACCAATGTCCTATACAAGTAGAATGATATGTCTTAGACACGCATTAAAATCCTCGAAGGAAAAAAAACGTGGTGTTAGGTAAAGCAGAATTAGCAAAAAGCTTGATAATTACGAAGCTAGCTGATGGGTTTGTGTATTTGTTTTACTATTCTCTAATTTTGTATACACTGAAGATTATGAAAAGAAGATTAGATTGTAAAATGTCTATAAATGAGATTTTTCTGAAAGGAGAGTCAAAATTCTGAAGCAAATGGTGGTAAACAAGGTGCATACTAACGATGATCTTCATTAGACAAACAAAGGATGCTGAAGAATAATTAAAAAGTAAGATAGTAGTATAGTAGCTCTATATCTCATTGTACCAACTGAGCCATGGGAGAAATGTCTGTGCTGGTCGGAAATTTAATTTATTTTTTTAATGAAGTTTGTTGGTATAGTTTAGATACTCATAATGATCACATTCATGATAGAGAATTTGTATCTGTACATGATATATCTTAGTTGCTCTTTTTTTCCCATTCACCTCCCCTCCCTTCAACCCCTCTTACCCTCCTTATTTATGAAGCTTTGTTTCCATTTTATCCTTTTTTTCTCATTTTTTCTTTTCCCTTCCACCCCACCAACTTCCCCTTTCCCTTTGAACAATTACTTCCTATTTCACAATATTTAACATACATTTTGGTTCTTATTTATACTTTCAGTTTCTCACACCAGAGAGACAGTGCAATATTTACACATACGTGTCTGATTTATTTCACTTAAGAGCATGGTCTAAAGCATCATACCATGGCAATATATGCATACCCATGTTTATTGTGGCACAGTTTGTAATAGCTAAATCTTGGAAACAACCCACATGCTCATCAACTGACAAGTGGATAAAAAAGATGTGGTTTCTTTTTTACACACTGGAGTACTACTCAGCCATGAAGAAGGATAAACTTGAAATATTTATAGCTAAATGGATGGACCTTGAGACTGTACTTTCAAGTGAAATAATTTATTGTATATTCCTCCTTTCACTCTCTTTCCCATACATCCAAAATCTGTGCAAAGATTGATGTCCTCCACAGTGTCCAGGGAGCAGAGAGACCCCACCGAGGTTCCTAGTCAAATGCTAAGCTGGCCTTTGTCCCTGCGGGTCATGGTCCCTTCAGTGTGGTGGTTGTGCAGGACAGTGTCTGTGGCCGGTGTGAGCAGGGTCATGGGACAGATGGAAGGCTTCTCATCTGAGGACTCCTTTGCCCAGACAGGAATCTCTTCCCTGTTTGCCTTTGTTTCTCTCACTTGAATAAACAGTGGGTTTCGGCTTTTACAAGTGACAGCAAGAGTGAGTGAGTTCAGGGTGCTCTGCTTTCTGCCCTGACGGGAAGAGCGGAGTAAGAAATTGCAGGTGCTCTTTGCTGGTTACCTGCGTGAAACCTGTGTGTTGGGACGATGTGGGGGACCAGAACAAGGAGCTGCTGTTTCAGTGAGTGTGTGGGTCTTGAAAGGATTCTTTTTTTTTCTTTTTTGAGAAAGGCACCGTTAGATTAACAAGGAGGTTTCTTTTGAGGTGTTCTTGCTCTGATGTGGATAACAAAGCTGTCTCTGGGGAAAGACAAAGGATTACCTGGGTCAAAAATAAAGGTAGGAACTCACCGGAATTACAAGCAAGTTTCTTCCTCCTGCATAATGGGTATGGATAAGTAATGCAGAGGTGGAAAAAAGATAAAGAAGTTGCCACTGCTGAAACCTCAGTGAGACAGGGAAGGACTGTACGACTTCAATGATGGAAATCAAAGGGCTTTGCAGTGGGCAGGAGCCTGCAGACTGCGTGTAGGGCTGAATCCCCTTCTGGACGCGCGGAGCCCTTTTTCTGAGCACTTTAATTCACACTGAAGCCAAGCCCAAGGTGCAAATCGCTGTGGATCCCAGTTGTGATGGAAAGGTAACTCCCTGCCGGTGTGAGGTCTCAGCGGGCACCCGGTGCCAAGAATGAGAGACTGCAGATGGCTCAGGATGCTCTATCCATAGCAGCTAACACAGAGAGCAGGTCTGCTGCCAGCGGAGACCATGAGCGTCTCAGTCCTGTAGGGCAGTCAGGACACAGAGCCGAGGGAAGGAGATCTAGCTCCTGTTGAAACATATCTCAGAAGCCTGGGACTGCATCCCTGACTATGGCCAGGCGTTTGATAGGGAGTGCTGTGGTCTCTCTAATAGAGGGTCATTCCGAGCATCGGCTTCTGTCAAAGCGCAGAAAATGCAGAGGGAATTCAAACTGCCAGAAGCGGGGAGCCTGCATCTCCACATTGCCGTGCTGGTCTCCAGGGCTGAGGGGAGAGGCCGCTCAGCACATCTTTGACAAAGGGGACCAGCTTCTGTCCTCGCTGGTGTATCAGACCTCTGCTAGTTGCCTTTGATACAATCCAAGCCTGAAATACCCAAATGAAACTCACGTTAAAGAAATACGCGATTGGGGGCTGGGGATTTAGCTCAGCGGCAAAGTGACTGCCTGGCAAGCGCAAGGTCGTGAGTTCGGTTCCTGGTACCGGAGAAAAACCAAAAAAAAAAAATTTTTTTAAGAAATACACGATTTGTGCAGCAGGGAAGCCTGCAGGTAGACCTGGTGTGGGGTGTGACAGTTTCCTAGAGAGAACTCGGGGCTCACCATTTCCTAACTGCCTTCCTTCTGTGTGCTGACTTAGGCTCTGTAGCCTCTCCCTGCCCGGGGGAAGAGTTCCTGTTGGCTTCAGGCCTGTCTCCTCTTTCTGAAGGACTACACGTTGGCCCCCCTGGGTGTTGTGCCATCGGGAACCATCCCTGGGCCAGGGAGAAAGCTGATGTTTGCACAAGGCTCAGGCTACAGGTCTACTCCTGAGGCCAGGCAGGAGAGCGAGGGCTTCCCATCCCCATGCCCAGCCACAAGGAATGACAGATAAATACTTTCCCCGAAGGACAGCTTGCTAGCCAGGTGGCATATGGGACTACATTCTCCAGTCAGAAGGAAAGAAGTCTCTCTTTCCTCCCACCCAAGTTTGTATTTGCTTCCTTGCCCTTGCCCTCACACAACTGGAGGATGAAAAATCAGCCATCCTTACCAGCTCTTTTTCTTTCTTTTACTGTTTAAGTCTTAATTAGGTTTCCTTTATCCGACTCTTCTGCCAAGTGTAACAGCCCGCGTCGAGTCTCGTCCATAGGAGAGTGATTAAGGATTCACACAAGAGCCAGCTTGCTTGGTTCAAATGCTGGCCAGCCTAGTTACTGGTGAGGGGTTTTGGGCAGGTTGTTTCACTTCCCAGGATTTGAGTTCCCTTCTGTCTGTGTGGGAGGTGGTAGTCCTACTGCCTGAATTTTTTGTGGGGAAGAAATGAAATTATACGTGTAGAGCAGCCAGAGCAGTGCCTGCCACAGAGTGACAAGTGACCACTGTTATTACTAGTGAGTCACCTCCTTTGAGTCACCTCCTTGATACGCTGGTCCCTGATACACTGTTCCCTCCCACCTTCCAGATCCTACCTCAGCGCCCACAGGTGCTTGACTTTCCTCCCTTGCAGGAGGAAAATGCCCTTTTGTTAAGCTAGGTTGTCTTCTACTCAGCCTCCCAGCTTGTTTGCGGGATTTTTATTGGATACTCCAGTGTCGTGTGCAGTAGCCATGAAGCTGAGGGTTAGCTCTTAAGAGATGTATTTTTCATGGCAAGCATGTTGTATGTGTGTCTGCATGTGTGTATGTGCATGGTTGTGTGTGTATGTGTGTGTGTGTGTGTGTGTGTGTGTATGAACCCAGGGCTTTTGCATTGAGCTGCCTTCCCCACCCCTTTTATTTTTTATTTTGAGACAGGGTCTTAAGTCCCTAATTCCTCAGGCTGAGCTCAAACTTAAGATCCTCTTGCTTCAGCCTCCCAGAGTGCTGGGATTACAGGCATATACCAGCTCGTTCAGCAGCCTTATTCTTAATGTAAAGATAGAAACTCTTCCGTGAGATTTAACACACAAGGTCAGAGCAGTGGGCTTCGTGCCTGCTTCTCCATGAGATTATCTGTGTCCACGCTGCCCGTTTTCTTCCTTTGCTGTGAACTCTCTCAGTACCACACCTTTTTGTACTTGGTGATACAGCATTTTGAGTTCACCATTGTTATGCTTTAGGCTTTTCAGAAGATAGTTGCATTTTTTGAGGCTGCCGCTGAGCTTTTTATTTAGGTTGTCTATTATGTTTTTAAAATTAAAAAATTATATAACACAGGTAAGGACCACAATTTTTCGTATACAAAATCACTTGTAGCCAGGTGTTGTGGCACATGCCTCTAATACCAGTACAAGGGAGGCTGAAGCAGGAGGATCAACATAAATTTGAGGCCAGCCTGGGCTACATTGTGAGACCCTGTCTCAAAAAAAAAAAAAATCACTCGTAGTCATACTACCCAGAAGTAATGACGCTTTTTAACATTAGGGTCTATAATCTTCTAGATTATCAAATATATGTAAATACATATTTATAAAATTTTAATGAAAGAGGTTCCTATACATACTGTATTGTACCTTGCTTCTTCACTTATTTTGAAAACCTTCACATGTATCATTTTTCAGCTTCATTTCTAATTTATTTTTGGCCCTCCCCCTCATTTGTAATTTATGAATGTACAATAATGTACCTAACCAGTTCTCAGTAATTTGTATATAATTTTCAATTGTGTTTTATGGGTTATTGTCTTGTATTTTCTTCCTGGGAGTGAGAAACTATATAACTGAATATTCTTGTGGCAATAGTTTTAAATAAATCTTGTAAAATTTTATGAAATTTTAAGGCTACCTATACTGAAACTTAAATTTTGTATTCCATTTAGGAGAACACAAACTTCATTTTATCCCAGCCCTGATCGGCCCCTTCCTAGAAGTGACCTTGATTCCCCAGCCAGATCTCCGGAATGTCATGATCCCTATTTTCCATGATATGATGGACTGGGAGCAGAGGCGGAGTGGCAACTTTAAACAGGTAGGAGAAGGTGCTTGTAGGAACAGCTGAAGGAGCTTCGCTTCTCCTCGAGGGCCTCTGAACTTCTCGAGTCCACCGGAGTTGGGCAATGGACCGTGGTCAGCAGGCTTAGATTCTAGGCCTCCTGTCCTCCCACACCACACCGCCTTGGATGCTTCTCCTGATGCTATGTTCCCCTGAGCCTGCAGTGAGGCACTGAGAAACCGTTTAATTCCTTTCAGCTGAAAAGATCTTTGATTGCCCAGGTCTGTATTTAAGAGTTTACAGAGACTTTATTTGCTCCCAGCTGGACACAGCAGAGAGGAATCTGAGGGTTAATGATTCTTAAAATCATTGAACTCTCAATAGTCTGCATGTTGCATTTGGTGAATGACTTAAGCCTTGAGCATTTGATTCACAGTATGTTTTATTGCTCTTAGCTGAACACATAGAGAATTAATTTAAAGGATAAAGCAGCGCTGAAATTCTCGCAAAGGAAATTCCCAAGGGACGAACCTACCATTTCTCAATGACTAGGTTTCTAATGGTGCTGCCCTTGTTTTGAGAAGACAGGCACAGTACAAAGCCAGGTCTCAGAAGGAATTGGCTGCTGTTGCCATGCCCTGCCCCTTGAGTTAGAGATAGTAGGCCTACTATCACAGACTCACTGCCCTAACTATCACAGACTTCACAGACTCACTGCCCTAACCTGCCTGCCCGCAGGTTAGTAGCCATCCTTTGAGCTCCAAATGAAGCTTTCCTTAGACCTTAGAAATCATGGTGAACCAACCATACAAGTGATTTGATTGCATACATAGAACCTTAAGCATGAGCATCTCACTCATATAGTGTATATATTTATTTTCAAGAGTGCTAGACTTTCTAAAATTGTACTGGGTGAAGGGACCCACTTTCCTCCTCCTTCATCCCTTGGTTGCAATTTAATTTAAAGGAATAATTGGGCTCAGTCCCATGTCAAAATCAATTTCCCTCCCAGTCCCTAATTGCTTGAACTCTCAGGTCGTAAGAGCGTTTTCAATTTCTCTTCCTTCTTATGCCTCAGACAGAGGAAGGGATATTTTTCCTTTTCTGATATTCAAGTTCCAAAGAATTTACATCTTTGAAAACATAAATGTTTTGACTACAGTTTTCAGGAAATATGTCCTTTCTCTCTATTCTGCTGCTGATTGCTGACTTAGAACATTTCTATCTCTTACCATCTGTACATGGATGGGACAAGTTCTCAACTCCAACAAAGATTTAGTGCAACCTCGAAATGTTTTAGGAAGGAAAGCAGATATAAAACACACCAAAGATTTAAATTAATGTATGTGGGCATCCCAGTGTGCTGACGCTCTTCCCATATAGTGTTGCAAAGAAAAAAGAAAGAGGACTTGCCAGTTTTTATAGCGCTTAAAAAGGATTCAAATGTTTAAATAGGACTGCAAGCATTTGTGTTTAAATCACAGATAGATAGATGTCTTTGGCAGCAGGAAAAGCTACCCAGCCAGGAGTTTGAAGTCATGTTCCTGCCATCTAAATTAGCCCCCTACAATTCCAAAGCAATGGCTGCTATTAACCATGGGTGATGTCACTTTCACGAAATATACTACAGCTTTTTTCCCGGCGTGGAGAAATATCTTTTAATTTGCTGTGAAATCCTACTGGCAGAGGGGAGGGAAACGAGAGTAATATTAGGGTATGTTTCAGGTGGAAGCCAAGTTAATTGACAAACTGGACAGCCTGATGTCAGAAGGCAAAGGTGATGAAACGTACCGTGAGCTCTTCAACAGTATGTGAGTAACATGTCTGTCTCAAGTTGCTGCTCATGAGGGGATTTGGTGTTAGTCCTGAGCTGCTCTGCATGGCTGTAGCTGATTGCTGCAAGGACAGCTTGAGTCTCACAGGAGTGCTTTGTCTTTGTGCAGTGTGAAATAGAACATAATTGCCTAACTCTGGCAAATGGATCGTGTGATGTCGATGATTAGACGTGTCTCTTTATTTTAATCTCTGATGTGGCCAAGTCATGAGTGTTACGTAACAAATCGCACTCTCTTTAGGACTAATAATATAAAAATATAAAAATTTGCTGCAGGATCATGATTTTAAGTAGGGTTATAAGTGAGAGAGGAGAACAGGGGTGTAATTGTAATGTTTGTCTACAGCGCGTTCCAATGCAAGACCTCTTTGACTGATTAGCTGTTGGAAAATTAACCTCCTTTGTATCTGTTCTTCAGCGCCTGATTTGATCCATCAGTACTGATTGTTTGCTCAGGATTATTAACTGCTTCCTAAATATTTGTTGTTAGACTATCGGAGAGGCAAGTAATTTTTAGTAAATGCAGTGTTTTGGATTTGTACGGAGGAGAAAGAAATAATGGAATGCTGCAAGGAGGAGACTTTGGAGTGTTCCCACCAGGAAAATGTGGTCACAGTCGCAGTCACACACTTGTCCCAAGTATTGCCCCACTGTGTAAATGGCCAGACAGGACACGTGAGAATGGTTCAGTGCCGTGGACTTGGCCTCTGGCACTTGTTTTCTCTATGGATTCGTACGGATCTTAGTTATTTTCAAACCTAGTGTACTTACAGAGTATTTCTTCTTGAAGGAAGAAATGGCTCACTGAGCCTGGAAAGTGTTTGCAATTCTTCCAGGAGTGCAAACATAATTCAGCAGTATGCTTTTCTTCTACAAAATATACTTTTATTTGTTGTTATGCTCACTTACCACCTAGAACTAGAGATTAGTGCTTTAGTGCTTTAGATGACCAAATTCAAAATTCTGTAACTCATTTTAGGATCATTAATTTGCAACAGTGGATATATTAACATATAGGCTTGAAAAACACTGGTGACTGATAGGGTGGAGAGATTTCACCTTGCCTGATGCAGAGTCATTCTTGAGGCTTTCAGGAAAATAACATTGAAAGGAAGTTAGGAAGGGGTATAGAGATTTCGTATGGTGGTGGTGAGTTATAAAATATATACTTTGTACTGAACCCTGAACAACATCAGTTTCTTCCAATACTATAATTAAACCAGAACTTTTAATGATTATTCACGAAGCCCTTGTGCATTCTTGTGTACAAAGTGTCTGTCTTTCATGACAGCTGGAGCTTAGCAAGAATTCTGATTAAAACTTCATCCGATATAATAAATTGCTTTTGAAAAATGCTCTCACTTCTGTGACTAGTGCCTGGTTTGAACAAAGAACTAAAATGAGAAAGCACTCAACGAAATGAATCTCTTGAGATTTGTGTTTAATTATTGATGATAAATTCACAAGATTAAGAAATACATGCATAGTTCTGTAGTACCTCTTATCTACTCTCATAAAGGCCTGATAGCATGCAATTTAGATAGCTTGTGTATAAATGCGACTTTGAAATTGAAGATGTACCTTGACATTAGAATCAAACCAATAATTAAAATATTAAGCCTCTGTAATTAGGACTATTTTAAGGGACCTGATTCATTCAATGGAGATTTTTGTTCTTTTGTTGACTTTTAGGATATTACTAGAAACACTACTATAAATATTTTTATTTCATGCTTTTATGATCAGCATATTGAGAATATGTCAAATCTAAAGTAATAATTAAATATGACTACCTAGGCTCAGAAAAGGGAGTGAATAACTATATTTCAAGAAACAATAACATCCATTTTGGGCTATAGAAATGGCAATGAATTAGTGCCATCACAGTGAGTCAGCGTACACATTATGAATTAGGAATGCGTGCCGTTATGGTTCAGATTCCATTGTTCTCTGTAATTCATGTCTAAAATTTCTTGAAAATTTGTGCAGCAGCTGAAAAGGCTACCAGTACTTCACTGCTCCCTAAAGTGGAGTACTTGACAAAATAGCCCCCTTGGAATGAGAATTTGAATGTGGCCAGTACTTCCTTTCCTGAGAACTCATCTTTCCTTAACTCTTACCATGATTTCCATTTATTCATACTATATCTTTTCTAAATCAGTTAAAATTTATGTTTTTTGATAACCCTGAAATTGGAGATCACGGGCCACAATATGAAATATTCAAAATAGAGCATCAGATCTAGATTCTGCTTGTCCTGGTGTCGCCCGATTCACGCGTTCACCCTTATTTGCTGAGCCCCACCCATCCACGTGGGGAACCTGTGCGGGGCTGGGGTGTAGCAATGATTGTGCTGCAGGAGCACACAGGGGGGCTGCTACCATGCTCGGGGCTCTGCAAGGGCTTCCAGCAGAGGTAACATCCATCTCCCTTCCTTCCTCTGCTCTAGTTCAGTGACTCCACGTTATTTCAAAGACCTGTGTTTAATGGTCACATACGTAATGACTGCTGGGGGACAAGGATTAGTTACGTAACATCATGCCATAGCTATCTAGCTCTTTTCTTTGGACTGCTTAAGAAGAGTACACACAAGCACTGGTGCATACTTCAGAATGGTGATCTCAGCATCATCCTGTTACTAAGAATCAAACCCTGTCCCACTCCCCACCTCCAATTCTCTTATGGAGTAAAGCCTGGAGAAAAGCCAGGTGTGGTAGCGCAGGCTGATAATCCCAGCACTCTGGGAGGTTGAGGCAGGAGGATTGAAAACTTGAGCCCAGCCTGGGCAACTTAGTGATTTAGCGAGTCCCTCAAAAATAATAAAATGAAATTAAATAAAAGGCTGGGGATGCAGCTCCATGCAAAGGCCCTGCGTTCAATCCCCAGTATGGGGGGAAGAGCCCTGGTGAGGAATGTCATCCTGCAGTGCCATGTTTCATCCTGTTCCCCAGTGTGTAGGGTCCGCTGCATGTGCTGGACCAGCCTTATCAACCAGCAATGAGAAATCACCTCTTGATGTTGTCACATGGAGGTCTGTGAGGTTCAGAATACAGGCACAAGGGCATGATTATAGTCCAAGTAAAAACGTTTGGCCTTACTCAAGTTATCTAGAAATAGTTTCCTCTCATTGCTGATAGCCTGTCCTTTTCAGTAGGACTAGGTAAACCGGGAAATGGCAAGCTTCCAGGGAGAAGGAACAAGCCTGGCTGAGAACACAGCCAAACCGGGTTCTAGACTCAGCCCTAACATTTCGTCCTGGAGTCGGTTAGGAACACAGCCTGTGCAGAGCTCTGCCTCTTCTGATGAGAGGATTTTGTAGCTGTGATTCCTTACTGCAGTGGGTGGCTCTGCAAGTTAATGAAACTCATAAAAAAAAAGTCTCCATGTATTTTTAGAATTATTACTTACCTTGAGCTCTTTGTTTTTTAGCCTCTAAAGTATATAGGGGTGGGCTGTCACTTGGAAAGATTTCTACATCATTCTGCATTGCCTTGGCAGGCAGATTTTCACTTGAGGACTTGTTTGATACCATTTTGCCATGTAAGCTTAACGCAGGTGCTGTTCAGAGGTTTTTAAAAGAAAATATTTAAATAAACAAGGGGGTGTTCCCTTTGGAGGACTGGTGGGGGCAAGCTCCCTGTGTTCCATGCGCGGTCTCTGTACCCCGCAACCACTGCTAATCTGGGAAACAGTTTGAATAAACCAGAAGAGCAAATGATTAGGACCACCGAGGCAACAGATGAGGAGACAAGACAGGACACTGGGCAGCGGAGTGCTAACAGAAAGCCAGGAGGTGGGATGGGCGGGAAAACTGGGTGGGAACAGAGCCACAGACAAATGAAAGCTTTGATGAGATAGCTTTCCTCTTTCATCTTTATTTTCTCCACTAAGTGCATATGTGATATGCTTAGTTTGTATCCGTAAGAAGTATTTTCTCTCGATCTTATGTCTGATGCCAAGATAAAAGGAAAACAAGATTTTAGACAGAAATGATCATTAAATTCGGAGGAGTGGGAAATATCCTCATCTTACCATGACTGTGTTCTTTTATCTTTGGGAAAGTTCAGTCAGGAAGCCCTTGCCAAGTACAATGTGAATTTGCCAGGGAGGGAAGCGAAAGTAAAACAGAGCCTCATTACCATGATTGTTATTATTTTGTGTTTACATAGTGCCTCTGCTCCAAGGTGTTTCAGATTAGGGGAATGTGGGAGGAGAGGTGTGGATCAGGACTTGTCATCAATCTGCTCTAACAACTACTTAGCCAATCCTCTGTGATTAATGACAAAATGAATGAAACTGTGGAGTGCACAGAGAGTACAATATGTATTGAGTGGGCAAATGTTAAGAGAAAGGAAAAAACGCAAAACGTCATACCGCCTGTACAAGGATTTTCCTGTAGCGGTTGCATTGCAGTAAAATTGCTTGGATGAAGATGCATTCTGCTGAGAGGTAGGAAAACGTTTTCCTATGAATAAAGCAAGATCTTACTGAAAAGTAAACTTGGAGGTGCTCCTGTTTTCGCTTTTTGCGGTGTTATTTGATGCGGTAGGGCTCAAGCCTCAGTGTAACAGAGGAGCTGGGAGAGACTGTGTTTGAGCTGCAAGTTACTTTTATATTTTGAAAATCTGATTATGTGCGTGCATGCATATTTTATGACTTGGATAATCTGAAAATCAATTTGCTTTGTCAATGCTTCCTGGATTAGAATTCCACTATTTGGTCCCTATCCTAGGTAAGACATTGTTTGCAAATTGTGCTACTTGTGAGATGTTTCGGTGGTTGCTAAGGCATTTAAGGTACTGATGAAAGTAAAATGGTTGTCATGGTGACTGATAAAAATAAATGTTGAAAATGCCCTGGGTTCTTTCTTTTCCAGTCTACTAAAGAAAATTGAGCGGGAAACATGGAGGGAAAGTGGCGTTTCATTAATCGCTACTGTAACTCGCCTAATGGAGAGGTTGTTAGATTACAGGTAAGGCAAGTTCTGCATTTTCCGAATATGCTGTGCTCCAGTTAGAAAATCAAATACTAGGATGTAGTCAACATTTCACTTGAGTTAACCACTCAGAGAACTGATAATCAGACACTGGACTTCTGACAGGCTAGGTCGGAGTTTTTGCGTTGGGCTTTCTTGTTTTGTTCTATTTTTTGGCGGGGGGACGGTTCTTTCAAACTCTTGCTGAGCTGGGAGGGTTCTTGGATTTCTTGTTATTCTTTAGGGAAAAAAAACAAACCAGTAATCTTTTTGGGTGTGTAGATTCACCTCCCCTCCTTAGAAAATCCTCTGGGGTTCATCCCTGTTAGAGTGGAGACAGTGGACCAGCAGCTTTAGGGTGAGCCCCTGTAACAGGATCGTATCACTGTGCTCACCGTGCTGTTTTCTTTAAAAAGGGGCAGGGCCAGGGAATGAAACCCACTGTTACCCGAACTAGATTTAATTTTTTTGACGTTTATATTATCTAGACTTTGAAAGCAGTGCATCCCACTTACATATGTGGTGGTTGTGTTTTTATTTAAAGAGCAAAATCCCCAAACTCCTCCATGGGCAGCCTTACCCACTGCTCCTCCCCGCTGGTTAGGAGGTGTGTAGGTCCTGATGCTTCCGGGGCCCTTGGCCTCTGGAGAGGTCGTGGCTTGACCTGGAAGGGAAGCCCCCTGCTCAGAGCTGCTGTGGAGTGTCTGGTTCCCCATCCTCACCACAGACTGTCATCCCTGAAGCCCTTCTCCAAATTAACACTTTTAAATTGTCTCTGGGTCTGACCTTTGTGAGTGTGTGCGTCTCTGGGCCCAGAAGGACAACCTAAACTGTGCTTTCCTCTAGGAAGTTTTGCATTCTGACCATTGCTTTTTGTTTTTAGGGACTGCATGAAAATGGGAGAGGTAGATGGCAAAAAGATTGGCTGCACGGTTAGCCTTCTGGTTAGTACCCGCTTCCCTTTCCTCCTTGATCCTAACATTTCTTTCTTCACAGAAATAGTGGGCTTTGATGTTATTAATGGGAAATACACTTTTTCTCCCTGAATGTTACTTAGAAGAGTTCAGAAACGTTTTTCAAAGAAAGAGAGCGAGCTCCAGGTTGAGTGAAAGCCCAGAGTCAGGGCCCATTCCCACAGGTGTGACTGTGTCCGCAGGCTGTCTCTAGGCTTAGGTGGGAGGTGGACGGACACTGGCTTCCGCTGTCACTCTGCTTGCTCAGACAGCCCTCTGCTGCTCTCCTGAGACAAAAGCACGACGTCCCCAGAGTGAGGTCCTTTTCCTTCCGTGTTCCGTTTCTGTCTTTCTCTTTCCTCCCAGTGTATTCAGGCTACATCCTAGTAAACATTACTGATCTCCTCTTTTGTGAACTAATGGCAGTTTTCTGTTTAACACACTAATTTTCACTCATGGCTTCTTTGCAGATTGAATTCATAGCAGCCCTATTGTTAAGGTTTGCATCATAGCCAGGATGACCATATAATGTATCATCCAGGCTGGACTCTTTTGAGAGTAAAATTAAATATTATGTAAGGATAACAGTCTAAACCAGAACTATCATGAGCAAATCAAAATTCATACAAAGTATCATCCACCCAGTTATTAAATAGAGTAGTATTTCTACCACAGAGCGCAGGAATGCCCATACACATTTTTCATATTTTAATACAGGGTAAATTAATGCTTTGATAATATCCTCTACTCAACTTGGAAATGCAAGAAGGATGAGTGCCTCCAGTTCTATATTTGTCAATATCATGGTTTCTTTTTCTTACATTTTACCGAGTAGATAAAATGTCACCATCTATTCTGAGTACTATACGGTTGTTCTTATTCTCAGGCTGATCATACCGTATTGTTCCCTCTGTCTGCACTTTGAAACTTTGTTTTGTCCCCTGCTTTGATTCAGTCTTGTCATGGTTCATTGGTTTGTCTTTTGATTTTGTTTTGTGTAACAGTCCCTCTTCAAAGCTCACAACTTTCATTTTCTTGTGACTCGTTTTCCTGATTTCCTGCTGTACAGTTTTTATCTCTGAATCTGACTTGTGTGCTTCCTTACCACACCCACCTCTTCCCTCTCACTTGTAATTTAATTGTTACATCTCCACCTCCAATATTAGTCCCTAAAAATAGAGAGCCCTGAGCATCCCCTACCAGGTTACATCTTGTTCACGCGTTATGCACTTTCTTCCAAAATTTTTGTCGTTAGACCCGACAGCGATGTCCAGGCCATGAGCCGACTCCGTGGGTCCACCATTTACCTCTCCCCAGCCGTCACTTCTAACCTCGAACGTGCTCATCCCCTATGTTAAATCTCCCACATTGCCCCGCTTTTTGCCCGCTTTGTCAGTCATTCAACATGGGCAAGAACCTCATCCTCCTTTTTTTTCCATGTCTCTGCCTGTATGTCCCTGTTTGGGACCAGTCACCAAATGCTCTCTGCAAGCTTTAGATGGACGCTTTCACCCTGGCCGTTCCCCACCAGCAGGCACAATAACCTCAAAGCAAAGCTTTGACTTTTTCACAGAGGAATTCTCTTCCGTTGCCTTCATTTTCTTTCGTACAGGCCTTCCATTTGGAGGTGAGCAAATGAATGCAGTCCCTGGATTGATTGCCTCCGTTGGTATAAGAGATCATTTCCATGGGTGAAAGAATTAATACTTTGTCCTCAATGTGTTTCTGGTAGTCTCCAGCAGGAATAAGCCAGAGGCATAAAAAAATCAATGGCCCCATCGATATCCACTGGAGAGAAGAATTTATACGGCTCCTTTCAGTGACCAAGAATAGTCTTCACAGTTGGGTGTAGTAGTGCCTGCCTGTAATTCTAGCACTTGGGAGGCTGAAGCAGGAGGATTACAAGTTCAAGGCTAACCCAGGTAGCACAGCAAAAGAAGAAGAAAACAGTCTTTAGAGAGAATTGTACCATTTTGAAAGATGTTCCAATTTCCAACCAGCACAAGAATACTTATTAAAGGACCAAATATATCACTTTGAAGCTAATCTCTTAAGCTTCTTCTCCATATGGAAAGTTCTTGGTGTTTTCTAGCAGCAATATGGTTCTCTCCAACTACTCACTTCCTTTGAGACATTTTTCTGAACTCTTTGGGAGGATGAGTTTCAGATCCTCTTTCCGGAGAGCTTTGGCTTTCCCTATAGGATCAGAGTTAAATTCTAGCATTTAGTTGGAAAAGGTGCATAATATTTGACATGACTAATACTGGGAAATGTAATCATTATTTTGTTCTATGTCATAAGTTTTGCGAGACATATGTGAAAAATTCTCATCTGCTGACTAAAGAGATTATTTTTTTAAGAAGAAATATTCAGTTACAGAGTGATCACTTATTTTTGTTCTAAAAAAGCAGCTTCTTACCAGAAAGCTATTAGAGCAAATCACCCTTTAATAATGTAAAAACCTGCTGTGGGGTTGTTAGACTGTGTTTATGGTACAACAATTCTTGCTAATTAAAATAATTTCAGTTATAATGAGAGAGATTTGAATAGCATTATTTACTTAGCTTTTTAAAGAATGCCAACATCCACAAGAAACTAAAGAAAATGAGGATTATGCTACAAACTGGAAATCTATATCTGTATCTGTATATCTATATAGATACAGAGATATAGATAAAGCTAAGTAAATAAGCATATATAGATATATGCTCTAGAGATACAGATATCTATAGCTAGGGATAGAGAGATAGGGATATGTAGATATGTGCTTTTTTATGATCCATTCAATTTAATGGCAGTGCCTTTAGGTTAGAAGAGTCCTCAGACTGAAGAATGGACAGAAAGTGCCTTGGATAGAGGTTATCTGGTTTCGAGCCCAAATATAGTCTCAGCAGCCACAGTGGCTGGTTTGGACCCTTACCAGAGCCCTGTTTCAGAAACAGTTAGTACTGCTGGTCTTTTTACCTTGAAAACCTTGCCATCCTCCACTGCTCATTTTCCTTCTTCTGCACACCAAGCAGCATTAGCCAAAACCACAACAAAAAGCACTGATAGCAGTTGAAGTGTTGTGAGTAGGGAATTCATAGCATGCGATGATCTACTCCTGAAGTGCCTCACTTAGAGACTCCCTGCCTCCTGCTTTGCTGAAACCGGCCTCATGTATGTTCGCGCCTGAGTTTGCTAAGTTCATTGAGGATTAATGTATTTTCCTAATGTGGGAAGGAGTAGATATGAATGCCTCAAAAATATTGGCCTATGTGTCCAGGTAAGTGAAAATTGAGTGTTGCTAATAATTGTTAGAATGTTTTACAAAAGTTTTGTAAAGTCCAGATTTTTGAAAAATTAAGTATTTTACTAAGCATTCCCCATAATAATAACTGGAAATAAAAAGCTATTGTTCCTTTGTGTTTTAAACATAAATTGGAAACTTTTACCTCTAACACAAGAATAAAGTGCAGAATAACAGCTTTAATAATAAAGAGAATTATCCCATGCTCTTTCTTAGAAAATTCTCGAGGAGTATAGGTGCTTTTACATTGTTTTTACTCATCCTTATCTATATGTGTGAGAGACTTTTTTCTTTAGAGAAAAGTGTATTTGAAATTCAAAGTTTAAAAAAACTCTTCTTTGCCGGGCGTGGTGGCACACACCTGTAATCCCAGCACTCGGGAGGCTGAGACAGGAGGATTGTTGAGAGTTTGAGACCAGCCTGGACTACAAAGTGAGCTCCAAGCCAGCCTGAGCTGCATAGCAAGACCTTGTCTCAAAAAGACAAAAAATTGAAAAAACTCTTCTTTGACTATTAATCAGTAAACTGAGTGAACGGGTTAATCTATTGCATATTTTTAATATTTTTATTTGAATGGGCTGATTGCATAGTTGCTAGTTAGACTAAACAAAAAAATATTAGAAAGTAATAAAAGAAATGTGAATCAGTCATTATAATCCAAGACTTACCAGCTTACCCAGTACTTGCTAGGTAATATTTAGCATAGGCAGTGTTTAATTGAAAATCTGTCCCTGGGCCTCATTTGTTTAAATTATATTCACATGGAAAAGTGCATCAGTTCTCTTGGCTCAAGACAAGCTCTCTTGGCTTCAACAAAGTAAAAGGAAAATATTTAGAGGCTTGAGTGCTGGGGGTCACACCTGTACTCTTTCTTACAGAACTTTTATAAGACTGAACTGAACAAGGAAGAGATGTATATCCGCTACATCCACAAACTCTATGATCTGCATCTTAAAGCACAGAACTTTACAGGTAATTCTGTATTTGGCTCAAATTGGGGGAAATGGGCTATACAACGATACATTAGACCTGACAACTCCTTGCCTTTTTCAAATTACAGCTGAGGACCCTTGCATTTCTACTTTAAAATTGAAATGTGTTTTTAATTGGATGAATGTTTCAAAGTCAGTGATGGCGAACCTTTTAGAACTTTCATGACCTCAAACATCCAGCTGCAGCATGTGTGCCATAGGTTCGCCAGCACTGTTCTAAGCCCTCTAATTTTTTTTACCATATCTATTTGCATAATTTTTTAGAGGTTGCTCTTAGGAAATATATATCTAACTTTTATAATCCTCTTATACTTGCAGTGTTTCCACTTCAAATTAAATATAGGACCTATGCAACCAAACAGACCCCAACATCCTCCCCACATTGTGTTGTACATGTCTTGTGTATTATATCTACCTACGTTAAAAACTTTAGTAGATGTCATTTTTTATTTTCAACAGTCAGATCTGTTTTAAATATCCAGTAATGTCATAGATTTTTATTTTAACAGTTAAAACCTATTTTAAACAATTTGTAAATGGTCTGTTATATTTACCTACATATTGGCCATTTCTGTTACTCTTTCTCCATTTGTGAAGTGCTCATTTTTGCTCACCTGAAGAACCTGTTATAGTATTTCTTTTAAAGGAGACCGAACAATGAAGAATTCTCTTAGTTTTCCTTCATCTAAGAATGTCTTTCCTGTTGCTTTTGTTACTCAGTTTTCCATTACTATAACAAGATACCTCTGGTAACTTAAAAAGCAGAAAGGTTTATTTGGCTCCCGGTTTGGGTGGCCTCAATCCCTGGGTGGTTGGCCCTGTTGCTTTGGGGCCTGTGGTGCCGAGGCAGCGCTTGGTAGCAAGGAGCAAGGAGCCAACCAGAGCAAAGCCATTCACCTCAGGACTAGGACATGAGAAAGAAAAAGGAAGACGTCTTACAATTCCCTTCAAGAGCACACTTCAGTGACCTAAGGTCTTCACTCAGCCCCGCTTCTTGAAGTTTCCATCAGCTCCCAATAGCACCAAACTAGGAACCAAGCCTTCAGCACCTGGCCATTTTCCAGATCCCCGTCAGAGCATCCCTTTATCCCTGCAGGATACATCTGCTAGGTACAGCATTCTAGGTGAATATAGTTTCATTTTCAGTATAAAAACATTGTCCCATGGTCTATCAACCTCTATGGTTTCTGATGCGAAATATGTAGCCATTGGAATGACTTATTATCTAATGTGCTGTGTATCTGCTGTCAGGGTGCTTTCAAGAATCTATCTTTGGTTTACAGTGGTTTGAATATAGGTATGGACCTGATTTTCTTTAGGTCTAGCCACTCTGAGTTTGCTGAGCTTCCTGGACCCTTAAATCCATTTCCTTCACCAATCTGGGGAAGTTTTCAGGCATTATTTTCTCAAATATATTTTTACATCAGTTCTTCTCCTCTCTGTTGAGACTAGAATGGCATAATTATTGGGCCTTTTTGCTGTTGTCTCGTAGATTCTGGGTACTCTGTTCATTTATTGTTCCTAAACTTTTCTTCTTTCTGTTGTTCAGAGTAGATAATTTTATTGATTCGTGTTCAAGTCCACTGTTCTCTTCTGTCATCTCCCTTCAGCTGTTGAGCCCTTCTAATAAATTTTTTTGTCTTTGATTAGAACAGAATAATTAGATTATCCTGTTCTAAAATTCTTACTTGGTTATTTTCTTTTTATAGCTTGAATTTCTTTGCAATGAATTTCTAACTTTTCAGTCATTCAAGAGTGTTTACATATACCACGTGGAGTGTGGTTATAATAGCTCCTCATACTCCTTTGTCTATAATTCCGGCATATGTGACTCATTTTGAGGTTGGCGTCTGTTAATTGCCTTTTCCCTTTGAGAGTTGTTTAGTTTCCTGATTTCTTGAAGGTCAAGTAATTTCGGATTATTTCCTGGATGTGTGGAATGTTATGACAGTCTAGATTTTGTTAAAATCTTCCAGAAATGTGACGTTTCATGTTTTAACAGTCAGTCCAGTTATGATACAATCTCAAGTTGTGAACCACCTTCTGTACGTTGTGATTCTATTGTCAGTTTGGTTTTAAACTTGATCCACGTTTCTGGATTTGCTTGCATGTGTGTTGCCAGTAGGAGTTCTGGTACCGGACAGCAGTAGACAGCATTGCTCTTGTCTCAGAGCTTTGGTTATACCCAGCATGATCTGTTCTACAAATGTGCACCTGGGAGATGAACACAGGAGTTCACATACAAAATTAAAATATCCTCTGCTCAAGCTGTCTCCTCTCTGGGGTCCTCCCCACTCTTCCCATCTCCCAGGGACTCTGTTTCCGAGCGCTCGGGCTGCAAAACCAAGACTAGATCCTCTTCATGCCTTGATGTCCTCCCTACAGCCACTGCTGCTGGTGCTGTTGCTCCCAGCACCGGCACTGCGGTGTGCAGCTTTGTTCCCAGGCCTCACCCAGGGAGAGACCAATGCAGTCCGATGATCCCCATCCCGCAGCAAGTCTGACTAGACAAGCTTGTCTCCAAACCTTGGCTGAATGTTCCCATTTGTAGTTTTAGGAGACAGGAAGTCTAAACCTGGAGATACAGGGGGCAAAAATAAAAACAGAACTCGCGACACCACGGTCATTCTTTGAGTGTTGGATTTGTTCCTCAGACGAGCTGCTCTTACTGCCTTTTCAGAATCCTCCAGTAGCTGCACGGCATATCCTGTCAAGGATATTGACTTGTAGTTACTGGGAAAGACACAGTGGAATGTGCTTGCTCCACCTTAACTAGGCCCATTAGTTGAATTTAGGAGCTATGAACTTCCGTTTTTGCCATATTTTTTTCCCACAGACCACTTGAATCATGGCCTCCCTCAGCTTTAAATGAATAAAAGAATCCCTTCTGCAGTGGTTCCCAGAATTTAAACATGCGTCTAGCTGTGGTTCCACTGACTGAATTAAAAGCATCACTGCTTACTCAGGCTGATGTCCTTGATATGATCCTTGACGTTTCTTCTCCCTCATGAGTCTCTATTGGTTCTGTTTCCTAAAATGTCTCAATGCCATCTCTTCTTCGTCTCATTCTCCCTGTCTCTGACCTTTATATCTCTTGCGCGGACTCCTTTATAACCATCCCTGGAGTTCCTGTAGACCAGGGATCAGCGACCTAATCTGCAGGCCAGCCACCTGATTTTGTAAAATTCCACTCTAACTCAGCTCGGTCAGCTGGGGATGTGAGCCACGCTGGTGGGAGCGCACTTGCCTGGCGTGTACGGGGTCCTGAGTTCCATTCCCAGCACTGTAAACACAAGCATCCGGAGAACTCCGCCCTGCCCGCCAAGCTGTATATCGTGGTTGTTCTGTGCTGCAGTGGCAGAGTCCAGTGCTTTAGATGAGGACACGTGGCCCACAAGCCCTTTTAAAAAAAAGTTCCCAGTTCCTTCTCGAACTATAACCCTGTTGTCAGTTTCCATATCTTACGCAGTGACGTCCACGTTCTGTATTCGGGTCCTGTGATAACAGAACCCACACCTGCCTCGTTTTGCCTCTTGAACCACATGCTCTCTCTTCACCCTTTCAGAGCAGCTCCTTCATCCTCCTTTCCTGCAAGTCTCCCCCTCCCGGAGTTCTCTTTCTTCTCTCTCACCAAGCCCCCCTCCCAGAGGCTGAGTTTTCTTTCCATCTCGTTGTTTTTTCTATTCCATTTTGTTTTCAGATATCCATGGAAGCACTTAGCACATTATATTTATTATGCGTTATATATTACATAAGATAGATGTGTAGGTAAGACAGACAGACAGACAGACGATCTGCAGTAAAAGAGTGAGCCTGAGGACAGAGATGAGCTCTTCTTATCCTTTGTCATCTCAGTTCTGAAAATAGTGCCTGGCAATATGGGATTTAAATAAGTGCATCACTAATGCATACAGTCATTAATTAGTTTTTAGCACCTGGTAAGCAGATTTCCCTGCAGTATTGGTAAGTCCTTAATCATGAAGGAAACAACCTAGTAGACTTGTTTTATTTTAAAGACGATAAAATAAGAAATGATAGAGGGAACTGAGGACAAGCTATTTCAGATACGTAACTCATATGTTTCGGCTCTCTCAAACAAAGTCCAAATTTGATATTTCAGGAATGGGCTTCTTAAAATTTATTTACTGAACTTGCAGTTTTATGTTCCCCAAACTCATAAGTAATAAGTACTTTCCCCATATAACATCTTATTCTCTCTTGTGTCCTTATTTTTATGTCTCCTTGGAGAAAGTGAAAGTGACGGAGAAACTTTCTGCTTAGATGACTCAGCTCTTTCCCCGTGAGGTGATACCGCCTCCGTCCCTAATTCATCTCCGCTCTGCTGTGTTACTTCTTTTTCATACTGGTGGTGTCACTACACACTTCTCAAAATAATGGCATGGTCCATATTTCATCGTGTGGTGATGCCTTTTGTTCAAAATTATAAACACTCTTTTAAAGTGTGTGTTGAAAATTCTTTCCTCTTTAGTACATACTGTCTTCTAAGAAGGGGCTGGGGTGTAGCTCAGGGGCAGAGTGCTTGCCTAGCATGTGCAAGGCCCTAGGTTTGATCCCCATCACCTCCAAAAACAAAAAGAAAAAGAGAGGGAGAAGAATAAATGTAACAGAGTTGCACTAAAACATTTAAAAAGTATTAATTTTATTCAGAATCAGCCTCATTGGTATATTGTGTTATTCACCCCTCAGAGGAACAGTACCATTTGCTGTCATTTAATAAACATTTTCTACAGTGTCGTCCACATTCACCATTTCGCTCAGATGTGTGTCATCATTTTCCCAAATCAGATTCTGAAGCTGTCGCCATTTGTCTTCGCACTTTCCCTGTGTCCCTGTTCAGCCATTTGTCAGCTGGCTCTGGCATCCTGCCCAATGCTTCCTTACTTTCCCAGGGCTTCTCAGATAGAACTCACCCCATCTCACCCTCCAAGCATCCCCAGACTGCCCAGGGACAAGCAGGACTGTGAAAGCAGTACAGGGGCTAGAAACCCTTATTTCATTTAAAATGTGGTATAACATGCATGGTAACTAATTCGCCATCTTAACCATGTTCAGGATTACACTTCAGTGAGTGCGTCCCTGTTGTCCAGTCATCACCACTGTCTACCTCCAGAGCAGTTTTCATCTTCCGCAGCTGAAACTCTGTGCCCATTAAACACTGACTCCCCGCTCATCCTGCACCAGCCCCACCATTCCACTCAGTCTCAGTGAATTTGACCTTCACGGTCCTTCAAGTCTCCCACTCCCCGGGCTGAGGGAAGGGCATTCCTCGGTCCTCTTAATCCTGTGAAATGAGCATGCAGTCTCTAGGGTGTTTTCTGTGTGCCCAGGTATTAGGAGACACATAAAAGAAATTAGAGACACAAAGGAAGTAACTCTCGGCCCGGGTCATTATGAGAAAGTAGGAGTCAGTCAGCAGCCAAGAGGAAAGGCTTGGAGGAACAGGCCGTGGAGGCCAGTAAGTGTGTTCAGGGTGGGCTGTTCCTAGGTATGTGTTCAGTTTGTTCAGATGACAGGAGCAAGGGTATAAATGAGGGAACAGAGCAACAATATAGAAGGAGTTAAGTCAGGAACCTAGGGGATCTCAGAGATTGAAAACACAGCCCGGCTCTCACGATCTCGGTATCACTTTGTACACTCAGCGCACTCCTCCATGGCAACCAGCATAAGGGTGCTTCGGCCGTGTCTGCGTCCAGCAGTGAACTAACGCCCTACTCTCTCCATCCGTCTCATGCACAGCTGCCACAAGAAGGAGGTTGGCAAGTACTCGTGGAAGAGAAGTTGTCCCTGTCCCTGCAGGCAGCTTCTGTGTGCCAGCTGCCTGTGGATCAGGAGGCATCTTACTCCATTCTTTAAAAGCCGATGACGGGGTCCTAGGGCTCCAAGTATGAAAGCCAAAGGCCCAGCAGCTCTTGAGGCTTCTGGAACCCAGCACTGGCTGGCTCTTTCTTACCTGAACTGTGTGGAGGGACAGTGGAGAGGTTGTTGACAGTGACCAGGTTAATACCAGCCCATTGGGGCTGGGGATTTAGCTCAGCGGCAAAGCGCCTGCCTGGCAAGCGCAAGGTCGTGAGTTTGGTTCCCAGTACCGGAGAAAAAACAAAAAAACAAAAAACAAAAAACAAAATACCAGCCCATTAACCAGGGAAGAACAAGATCCTGCCCGGCAGGAAGATCGTAGTGTTAACAGTGTGCAGACTGAAGGGGTGAGGTATTAAAAGATGGTTACAAACAAGAAACAAAAAGTTGAAACCAGGAAATTGTTCAAACTCACCAAATATAATTAAAGAAACAAAGGCCAGATCCTGTGTCTCTACCTCAGAGACAAAAGCAAAGCTGTAAGGGTTGTGGCCTTTCTCGTTATTCTGTTCTATTTTATTTCTGTTATGTTATTGTATCCTATCTATACCTAGAGAGGGCCAAATCGCAGTGAAACTTAACAGGTCATTTTAGAACTTTATCTATAGTTACAGCAAATAAATGAAGAAGAAGACTCGCCCTGTATTGATACTTGGTTAAAAGCAATCAGTGTGTCTTTTGAGACAAGTATACAGTAGTGGGTTAATAATGTAAAGGTTTATTGATTTTATTCAATTTAGAAAATGCGTTAGGTATTGCAATGTTAGAGGAAAAAATTATAGTCCTTTATCAGTGACAGTGAATTTCAGTGCCTATTCTTGATCTCTTTGGCCATGTTTTTATGGCTCAGGAAAATACCTGCAGAATGGCAATTATTCTGTTAAATACTGCCTATCTGTTAACTATACTTAAAGTCCACAAGCCATTATTTATTTCTGCTTGGGTATAAATAGAGAGTCGCTCCTTTGTGTATTTGCGGGCCAGGCAGGAGCATCACAGCACACAGCCCAACACGGCGCTCCCCTGTGATGGCTCTCTCTGATTCTCTCGTTCTCTGTCTCTCTCTATCTCTGTCACACACACACACACGCACACACATACCCCTCATCTAACACTTCTACGCTTCTGCCCTCTCCTCTTCCTACTCTGGTGCTAGATTTATTCTTTGCCTTTTCTCTTTTTTCTCTTCTTTCACCTCCTCTCTGGCTTTTTTGTGACTTCTACATTCTCGCTGCATCCTGACCTCCCATCCACACCCAAATACCAATTTCAGTTTTTTAGCCATTTATTATCCAGAAGAACTTCAGTGCCATTGTTTGTTTGTTTCTTAAGCATGCCAGTCTGAAGATCTCAGTTTCTAAGAGATTGACTCTGGAATTGTCCTAGCAAACAAAGGTATATCCTGCTGTACATTTTTGAACCAGCTATATAGCAAGATAACCTTTGAAAAGGTTTATTATCCCCATGGTATGTTGACACCAGGTGGGAGAACATACTGGGAGCTGAAACGTTAACATGTTCGTGACAGGGCCATAATCTGCATCTCTTGTTGCCGGATGACTTGTATTACTGGTTGTACAAATAGATCTAATCACTTTTCTTGGTCTTTTTACTAATAAAATTAATAAAAAGCCACCCGATGGGACAGTCATGCAGGTACCGCCAGTGAGTGGTTCAAGCTGACAGGAATGTGCTAAAGACCATCTCTGATAACACTTATCACCTAGGGGAAGTCACGTTCATTAACCCACTGCTGCATACATTCTGGAAAGTTTTCTGCTATGTAATGAAATTCAGAAAACAGTAGTTTCCCCACTTGGGTTGAATTCAGCCCCACTGGAAGAGGAGTGGCCTGGGGTCTCCTGTCAACCCCTGCCGTTCCCTTGGCTTGCAGAAGCTGCCTACACTCTCCTGCTGTATGACGAGCTGCTCGAGTGGTCTGATCGGCCGCTCAGGGAGTTCCTGACCTACCCCATGCAGACTGAATGGCAGCGCAAGGAGCACCTGCACCTCACTATCATCCAGAACTTCGACAGAGGCAAAGTAAGTGGCCCTTTCCCACCCGTGGACTCTCCAGAGGCGACACCTTTGATGTCCTTTCTCCTTTCATTTCTAGTGTGCTGACCTCCCCAGGCAAGGATCCTCCCACTGTCATGTGCATTAGAAACAAGCAAGCATTTGTTAAAATGCAGAGTCCCAGGCCCTACCCCTAGACATTCTGATGAAAGAGGTGTGAGATGCAGCTGTGGAATGTGTGACCTGAACGAGGACTGCAAGAGCTTCCTATGCATGTGAACTTTGCATTACACTTTCATAAACACTGATCTTGAGGGTTTTGCATCAGGGTTAGTCCATTCTGGCTGCTGTATCAGGATACATAGACCAAGTTTGCAAACAGAAGTGTATTACAGCTATGGAGGCTGAGATGCCCGAAGTCAGGACCCCAGCTGATGCCATGTGCGGTGAGGGCCTACCTCCTCCTGTACGGTACCTGCTCCCCGAGTCCTTGCATGGTAGAAGGAGCTGCCTAGCTCCCTGGAGCCTCTCGTGTAAGGGTATTAATGCCATTCACATGGCTATGCCTTTGTGACCTTATCACCTAATATGGCCTTGGGAGTTAGGATTTCAGCACAGGAATTTGTTTCAACACAAACATTCAGACCATAGCACTCAGCCCTTTCATTCTCTGAGAGACCTTGATCACTGTTCATCTGTTCCCCAAACTGGCATGTGTTCTGTGTCATCCCGCTTTTTTCAAGATAAAATCAGGAAACATGATTTGTTAAAGAAGTTTGGGGCAGCTCTTCATTTAGTCCCGAAAAGTTCAAGAAGTTTAATGTTGAATTTTACTAAGCCAACTGTTTTGTGTTTTCTTTGCTGTAAGATTCAAACAAGTCCATGTCCTCCACATCCTTTTTCTTCGGCATTGTGAACATTTTGTGTCACGTTACAAGACGTGAGGGCCAGCCCCACCTGGGGTGCTCATCTCAAGGGGGATTTTTAAAGCCTCACTGACCTAATAATGCAACTTAGCACACCACCCGCATAGCTTCCTCTCCCGCCGCAATGCGTGCAGTTCTCTTTTTAAAACCATTCTGAATCTGACCCATTGTTTGTTTTATCTGAACCCTTTTATGCTTTGTTGATACATCTTAGATTTACATATCTCTTCCAAATTGTAAAGGTTAAATGGTAAATTAAAATACAACCGGTGGCTGTCATTTTTCACAAAACAATTGGATGTGCTTAAAAATGGGATGCAAGGAAATTGCTTCTTTCATATCCTTTATTATTTATCTACCTACACTAACATAGCATTATGTTAATAAGAAAGGAAAATGTCTTTGCGCCTTCCTACTATAAAATTTCTGCCCATAAAATAAGCAGCTGTAACTTCTCTGGCTTCCTACAGTGTACTGGCCCATTCCCGGTGATTTATGTTCAATCAGGGATTGGAAACTGACCAAAAGGTCCAGTGGCTCACACCTCTTTCTGTGTAGCCTACAAGCTACAAATAGATTTTGTTTTTAACTGATTGACAAAAGTCAAAAAGGTTGACAGTATTTCATGGCATGTGGACATTACATGAAATTTACATTTGTGCCCATAAATTCTCATTGTAACACAGTCAGGCTCATTCACGTCCATGGCTGTTTTCAGGTTATAACAGATGAGTAGTTACGAAACAGACTGTTTGGCCCTCAAAACCAAAAGTGCTAATGGCCTGGCCCTTGGCAGAAGAAGTCTGTTGATAGCTATGCAAGATCAAAGAATTTTGCATTCACTCGGGGAGTAACCAGCTGGGTTTGACCTTCACAATTTGCAAGAACAAGTCTGCCAAGCAGGGAGTTTAGGGTAACAGCCATGGATAACTGGGCCTTGGGGTCCATAGTAATTCCCTCCTCAGCACTAAAAACCTATGTGGATCCACTGCTTAGCCATTGTAGAACTGCAGTTATTTCAAGATCATGATTCTAAAACAACACCAGATAATATTGTTTCTGCACCAGATGTTAATGAATCTTGTGGATTGTCATTTCCAAATTTCTAAAGATTTTCAATAATTTACATGTTAATCATGTGGCGTTTTCCTGCTTAAAATTGCGCTGACATTATTCAGGGTTTGTTAGAAAAACTAATGAATATGGAGGGACTATGGCACACACTTACAACCCAACATTCTGGGAGGCTGAGGCAGGAAGAATCTTGAGTTTGAGCATAGCCTGGCAACTTATCTACTTTGAGAGACCCTGTCTCAAAGTAATATACAAAAAGGGCAGGGATGTAGCTACAGCCCTCAATTCAGTCCTGAGTTCCACAAAAAAGAAAAAGAAAAAAAAACTTAATAATATGAAAGCAGTTCTGTTCTCTTGCGCTGACCTTTGGGTGGACGTAACTGTGCAGATGATTACATTTGCATCATTCATTTGTCCACAGTGTTGGGAGAATGGGATCATCTTGTGCCGGAAGATTGCGGAGCAGTATGAAAGTTATTATGACTACCGAAACCTGAGCAAGATGAGGGTAAGGTGTCCGCGTGCATCCTAATCAGACTACGCTTCCCTTTTAACGTTCCAGTGTGGTTCTAAGAAATCAATTTTGTGATCATCTCCATATGCATTGCAGAAACCTTTTTAAATATAAGTGTTTTCTCTGAAGCATACTCAACTATTTATACAGAGAAATAACAAATTGATCTGTGTAATGCTTTTGATTAATACACAAGGAGTGGACCCTTCATCTATTTCTAAAATGCCTTATCAGAAGTACACAAAATAATCCGGGATTAATGTCTTAAGTTTATTGTGGAAAATCTCTGCAGTGTTTAAAGAGCTTCCCAATTACACACAAATCCCTGTAACAAATACCATTTTTAGTCCCACAATCTGCAAAGCTGAGTAGCTGGCCCATTTATTGTAACAAGTTAGGGCCAAATTTTAACTTTCAAAAATATGCTTTTGCTAAACCTAAACCCAGGTTTTAGTCTCCAAAAATCTCAAGAAGTTAAATACTCTGTTTTCCTGAGCCAACAGTTTTGTCTTCTTTGCTGTAAGAGTCAAACAAGTCCACGTCCTCCACATCATTATTCTCCGGCATCGTGAACATCTTGTGTCACATTGTAAGACATGAGGTCCTGATGAATGCACGGTTCCTTGGGGTTTGGAAAATAGGATCATCAGCTCTCGTACACTACAAAAAGATTATCATGTCTCCTTTTCATTTGAGGTAGCCATGTAAGAGATGATAGCATGAACCTGTAACAGCTCACAAAACCCCTTACCCCACAGCAAGGAACACGCTCACAGGAACTGGGCCTGTACTTTTGACGTAGTATTTCATATCAGCAGTTCATTGATATTTCTTCTAGCCTGAAAATCAAAGAGAAAAATCTTGTTTTAACTTCAGTTCAGCATGCTGACTCTGGCAGCCACTGCTGTTTTCTATATGAAAACACTGCCGTTCTTCTCTTGGCATCCTGTCCCCGAAACAGAAGTGAGGTTGGTTACAGTGTTTACCCGTGAGAACCCTTGGGTGCCATAGTCACTTAGATTTTTATAAACCCAAAGCATAACACTTCATACCAACTGCTCTTTGGGGTGCTGTTACCGGGGGTGGGAGAGTCTTCAAGTGTAATATTAGTCTTTCTCTGGAAGCCCTGGGGATGATAATACCGTGAAAGGGAAACTATAAGCTTTATATGCTCTGCACTGAACATTGTCAAAGACACACTTAAGAGCTTTCAGCTCAGACAGCACTTTGCGCTATGGGTCTCTGTTGGTTTGGTATTTTGGTTTATCTCTGTCCAAGCTGAGCAAGGTCACACCTGCTAAGGCCCTGAATTACCACGTGTGAGGAAGTGGTACATCCACAGGTGAGTACTTCAGTGAGAATTCTTCAAGAAGGTTTTGCTTGTGTTTAATGTTAACTTCTACTTAATTATTTTTAAAATTTTCCTCCGTAGGAATATGTTCTGGTGATGACAGGTAATAATGCACTTGATCCTTTATCAGGGGTCAGCAGACTGCAGCCTGTGGACCTAGCAGAGTTGGGTAGTTGTGACGGAGACCACACGGCCTGCAAAGACTGAAATATTTACTGTCTGCATGTGTATAGAATAAGTTGCTGGTTTTTGCCTTAAAGCATAAAAAAGGGAGTCAAACCTTCTTATCTGCAAACTGAATTAAAATAACATTCTCTGTTCTATAGAAGAAATGTCTTCCTCTATCAGTTTTGGGGCCTAAAAGCCGAATAGACTGTTTAGAATATGTCTGGTGCTTTCCTAGATGATGGAAGCTTCCCTGTATGACAAAATTATGGACCAACAGCGTCTGGAGCCGGAGTTCTTCAGAGTTGGATTTTACGGGAAAAAATTTCCATTTTTCTTAAGAGTAAGTAACATTCATGTAATTTACTTTCATCCTTCTAATGCAAACATCCCAAAGAAGAAAACTAAGATATTAATGGTGTTTTATGATAGGTAATGACATAGGTTATAACATCATAAGAACTTTTTTTAACTTTTTACTTAATAAACACCTTGTTTTCTAATCCTGGGTGTTGAATCCAGTGTCTGCACACTGAGCTCCACCTGCAGCCCATTTTTTATGTTGAGACCAGGTCTCACTAAGGTGCCCAGGCTGGGCTTGAACTCACAATCCTCTTCCTCTGCCCAGAGTGCTGAGATCATAGGAGTGAGCCACCAGTCACCCTTGAAGTGCTGTGTTTTGAATAATGTCCCCAAACATCAATCTATTCCTTTCTAAGTTTATTTTATGAGCAATCTTTGGGTAATTGTAGTTTCCTCAGTATAATATTCCCTATTCTGTGTAGTCTGTCATTTCCATAGAATTAGCATTAGAATAAAAATAGGAGGATGGGAGCATAGCAGGGGGCTGTGCTGCAGACTATGTAAAGCAGTCAGGTTCACATCATAAGAAAACCCTGCTTCCAGAACTATGTGAAGAGTGTGGTTTGGCCTTTTTATTGACTTTGTTAAAAGGCAGATGCCACCCAGCAAAGAGAACCAGTGTATTGCTCACATAAACTGTTTCAAAAGGAGAAAATTTCTAGACCTCTCCGCTAGATAATAAAACATTCAACTCCATTGTTTCCATTTCTCATGTCCCACCAAATAAAACTTTATATTGTATATTATGTATTAAGTAATAATAATATTGAGGTGCCCATCTACACCAAACCAGTCACACAATACAATTTTTTATGGAAAAAGGGCCCATGAAAGCAAAAGTGCCTTAGGCCCATAAAAATGTAGCTGGGCATGGCAGCGCATACACTGTAATCCCAGCACTTGGGAGCCTGAGGCAGGAGGATCAGTCTGAGCTTCATAGTGAACTCAAGGGCAGCCTGAACTACAGTGAGACCCTGTCTTAAAAAATAAAAAACCATAATGCAAACCAATCAGAATCTGAGTTTTACTAGCAAATAAATAGTAAGAAACCCTAGCGATCTATTTATTATATGCAGTTACTATGAATTAAAGTATAAGTTTAGTCGTGAGTTCGGTTCCCGGTTCCAGAGAAAAACCAAAACCAAAAAAAAAATAAAAATAAAAATAAAGTATAAGTTTAAAAAATAAGAAGTAGAAAGAAAGAAGGGGGAAAAAATATATATACATATACACAAGGTAGCTAAGATAATTGTACTACTAATTTTATTGCTTTATTGAAAGGAACAGTTAATATTTATTGTTTGATCAATCTTACATGCCTATATTTGTTTATCTGAGTAACCAATTTGAAGATAACAGTATGTAATACATCAAGCATCATTAATTTCCTATCACCTTGTCTGAAATTCTGTATTGCTTTTATTGTTTTTATATTGTTTTATGTCTTTGTGTTTTATCATTTGTTTTTGTTCATTTCTCTTTAAAATAAAAAAAAAAATCAGAAGCAGGTGAAAAGCAAATTGGAAAATTTCATTGGCTAGTTGAGTAAATTCTGTGTAAAAGTCATTTCAAAACAATCAATTTTTGTGTCATCAGTCTTCAGAAAAAGGCTTTTCTGGATATATTTGACATTGCCTTCAAAATGTAAGAGGAAAGTCACCCTCTGTTGGTTCTAAAAGGCACTGCATACCAGGAATCCCATGGCCTGACCTTTTGCTAGGAAATCAGATTCTAGCCTGTTTTGTTTTTTTTTTTTAATTTAAAAAGAAATCAGCATTTAAAACTTCCTTTTGTTGTTTGATCAAGTTAAGGATAATTTTTAAAACTCAAATAAGTTACTATATGTATACAATTATATGAGCTAAATATTTTTTCCCCTCATAGAATGTGGGTTCTTTAAAGGGTAGTGACTAGTATGACCTAGCAGATCTGCTCCTAGATATTTACAAAAGAAAACTGAAAACATGCATCCACATAAAGACCATGGTAGCATTCATACCAGCCACAAAAGGAGAAACACCTCGAATATCTGTTAACTGATGAATGGATAAAAAAGTAGGGTGTCTATGTCATGGACTGTTACTCAGCAATAAAAAGGAATGAGGTACAGGCACGTACCACAAGATAAATGGACCTTGTGCCGGTGATATAGCTCAGTAGCATAAGCACCTGCCTGGCAAGCACAAGGTCCTGAGTTCAATTCCCGGTACAAAAACAAAAAAAAAAAACTGGCACTTTACCATGTATTACAGCAGCCATTGATATTTTCCTACTAATCTATCCATAACTCTGTAAAGTTTGTTTT